CCGATATTACTGACCATCAGTCACCGATTATCGATACAGTTGATATTGGATTAAGAAAAATAGAGGTGAATTGTTTTAATGTTTCTTTCCTTGTTAGTGACTACAGTTCATCTATAATTGGATTAATGGGCTTTAGATTACTGGCCGTTTGCATTTCTTTATGCAATAGTTTTTTTGCTAGTTACTCATTGATTAAACATCAGCTATGGAAACGCTTGATGACCATGTGAATTATAATAATTCAACCTGTACATTTAGAGATAAAGGGAAAGTACATTTTTTTGAGACGCAGGCTGATTCTATATGGTTTAAGAGAGGCTTTTAAAAAGGTTAGCTAATCTGGTTGGGCAAAAAAGATAATGATTTCATTTAGGCTACTCCCATTACAAGTTCATTAAAGGCCTATTGAAAAATACCTAGAATTTGTATTGACTTCTATCTGACGCTTAGTAATCGCCTATTGAAACAATGTTGTACAACTAAAGACACGGCAGAAATGCTACTATAAATAACGTCGATCAAAATATTTCTCTGAAGTAGGCCTAAAAGGTTGATATTTACAAACTCCGCTGGATAAAGATTTGAGTGAACTAACTACTATTAATACACTATTCGGACTGTCTAATTACAAGTTTTTACCGTTTAGATAAAATGTTTCACCTGAGATATCACAGTCAGTTATAGATCAGATTATTACTGGTCTTGATGGTTTTCAAGATAATAGTCCGGGCTAAAAAATTACTGAACTTCGTCTTAATATGGGACTCTTCAGCATAAGCCATTCACGACTGAACTCAGAACCTATGGTCTTGTGGTGAGTTCTTAACTTCCAGACCACTAAATCAGAATCTAATAATGCACATGTCTAACGTCAATTAAACTGACGATATTGTGCAACTATTTTTCATTTTCAGCAGTAGATTATTATTTCACACTCGACATCGATGGATGCTACAAGTCACAGCTACTATTACTACTACTACTACCCGAAAATTTGGCTATTCCTCTGGAACAATCACTCGAAACTAATAACTGTACAGATTGATAAAAAGTTACTGAAAAGAATATTTTTCATTTAGTTCATATAGTTTACTTATTTAAACACATAAACTTTCTTACAAGGAGGTAACAAATATATATGCACTACACATAGTAGTTACCATCAGATTTACATGGAGCGAAACACTACCCAGGTACCCAAACCGAAGTACCTGATTTTCCTAGAAGGTCACTTTTCAAGCCTTTGATCCAGAAGTTCAAGGTACAAGGCAGTGGAGCAACGATAAGAGATCCAGTCCCATTGTAGCTGGTGACCAACAATAGATTCATAAACTCTTAGTTCCCTCAGGATCCTGAAGCTCATGTGCACTATTGGTTCGGAATCGGGGTTTTCCAACTTCCCTAGGTGGATCCTTTATATCCACCTACCCGGTTGAAGAGTCAGATATTCGTTTTTCGTCCTCCAAATTTTGTTACACAACACCCCTGCCACGAGAAAGCAGTGAGTAGGATTTTCCTGGTATTAACCGTATAAGCGTGGCCTTGTGAGAGCATTTAGAGAGGAAGATCGAACTCTCTTGACTCTCGACTGTACCAGGGCAATCGGGGGCATGTACCACTCAAAGAACAAAATATACCAAAACTAATCTACTCAAATGAACCTGGTCGATAAATGATTAGTATTAATGTATATTTGTTATTACTTATTACTGGTGTAATTGTAAGAAACACTGTGTATACTAACCTAATCATTTATTCTATCATTATGAGCACTTTCTGAATGACATGGCTCAAAATCGTTTGCAATGGCGAAGGTGTATCCACTCTTTGTGTTCTGCCAAATTCTAATCTTCTGAATTCCTCATGTCTTTATCTTTTTCTCTTTCCAAATTTATTTCACTATACTATACTCCTTTAATAATTTCTTCAAACCCTAATCTTTTGGATTTCTGATTATACTCCTACTACTTCTACCACTATGGGATTTGAATCGACAACTGCATCTCTGTGCTAATATGGTATGGCAACTCGAACTGATGTACGTACGTACGAAGTTCTACGTTGTGACTGACTGACTGACTTTCTGTATCGATAAGAGAAGTTAATAAAAGATAGTAAGTATCAATAATGTATATCACATTTATATAGTTATCACATGGTTATAGAATAATCTCTGATCATTCAACACAGATCATAATTATATATAATGAAACAATAGTGTCATAATGATCGATTGCTTCAAATGAATGTTAACTATGTTTATGAAAAAGAAAGAAAAATAGCCCATTCTTACTGATATTTAGTCAAACAGATCATGATTATTCTCCGAAGAAGTGGCTAACACCGAGTCACGAAACGTCAGAAAATCTAATTTTTCTACTCATTGGGATATTACAAATATATTATTTATTTATAACAATCTACCCAATGCTCAATTTATTCAAAATTATCATGATTAGTATTGTTTGTTTATGTCTTCTCATTGATGTTTAGGACTGCAACTGGTCAGTCACTTATTGGCCATATATGTATACTGTGCGTATTGCCTCGATATAGCCTTACTTCATAAGCATATTATAAGCAAAGATGGATAGTGGCTAGCAGTGGAATCCAGTTTGACGCGCGTTTCGTCCTACTTGAGACTCGTCAGCTGGATGTATCTGCATCTAAGTTGATGTTCACTCTCGAACCCAGTACCTTTCGCTTCAAACTTAATCACGCTATCCAATTAGCTACTGAATCCTGATAGCTACTTGCTTGTGCAATGGTGTGAATTTTAACTTCACTTAGAATTGTTTGTTTAAATCTTCCCATTTATGTTCAGGACTGAAACTGGTCAGTCTCTAATTGGCATATGTGCATAGTGAGCGTATTGCCTACATATTGCTTTAACATCCAGCTGACGAGTCCTAAGTAGGATGAAACGAACGTCCTGGGTTCCACTGGTGGCTACGATCTATCTTTGCTTATAGGTCATGATTTGTTTTAGGCATTGAATAGAATAAAGGAATTAATGAGCAGGTTTATATGGTTTAGTTGTTAACTTCATTTACATGACTTATTAGATACACCATAAAACTGGTATTTCCATGTTTAATCAAACATAAATAAACAATATAGAATCTGACAGAAATATACATTGTACCCGTTATTCAGCTTCATGTCACAGATGACCTAGTTGTATTTGGTGAGTTTTTAATTCTGAATAACAGAAGGTTTACCGTAGATTTTTCTTTTGTTCCGAATGATGGTGGACAAAAACAAAAGAATCTGCTTAGACCATTCAGCTTTATCGTAAACCACAGTTTGATTGTGAGCATTATTAATGTTGAAGTAACTGAACTCATAAAGTGAGTATAGAGATTGAAAAAATTTGGAGATGGGTGGTAGTGGGCAGTGAAATCTGATGTCATCAAACATAGAATACGATTATTTCACCTATTCAAATCAGAAGACCCTTGACAATTCAAAGATAATCGTAGATTGATCTCAAGTTTTGATTTAATGTCCATCAATAATTTTCTAGCTTGGCATTATACAAATCTAGGATTGTACATTAGACTGGGCATGTTCGTATAACCCCTGTCTTTACCACCTTAGTTGAAGGAGTTTTAAAAAGCCATAAAACATGTTGGAGAAGATTTGTAGCTCAGGTGGGTGATTTTGATGGAATTTTGTCATTTGAGCTGGATGGTTTGGTCGTGGAGCTTTCATCGTCCTTCTGAACGACATCATCAGCACAAACTTCGGGTAGATGTGAAATGTTTCAATTTCTCCACATGTGATTCACAGCTTGTCCTGTGCACTTCGATGTTGAAATGACAGATTTAAGGTCAATATGAACCAATCAACATCGAGGTGCACAGGACAAGCTGTGAATCACATGTGGAGAAATTGAAACATTTCACTTCTACTCGAAGTTTGTGATGATGAAAGTTCCACGACCAAACCATCCAGCTCAGAGATTAAAACTCCATCAAAAGCCATAAAACATACTGCTACACTCAACTTTATCATTACTCGAAAAGTGGTTCTAACATGCGTAAGAAACTCTAATCTTCCACTCAGTATTAAGATATCAAATTGTGACACGGTATAAATGATTCTCGAAAGACATTAATTTGGATTTTTACCAGTTCAGTCAAGTAGTCTACATTTATCTGTATGGGTCAAATGAACAGTCCATAACTTAACAGCTGCATTTATGACTCTAAGGGTAAGTGCTGTATAAAAATTCAAATTAATTTTCATTGGAGATAATAATTTATTATACCAGCTAATCGTCATTTTTCAATCCATACTACAGCATCAGTCTGTTAGAGTATCATTGCATTATGTTCAAGGTTATCCAACGAGACAAGTGTAAGTTGCCTACACATGATCAGCATCAGAATAAATAACAGTTTACTAACAAGTTGTAATTCATAACCATAGGTATAAATGTTGACAACAAAACAACATATTTTAAGGTTTTAACATATCGACTCACCTATCCCCAAAAGAAACTGACACAAGTCCGAGTTGGTGGAATTAACACTGTCGTTTCAAATATATGTAATACGTGTAGGTTAACAACACGAGCGTATCATTAAAATGGCAACCCTCAAAACTTTTCGCAGCCTAGTTTACTCGTAATTCTAACAAGTTCTCCTTATTCGTACGGCTTAGATTAGAAAAAATAGGCCTTTTATCAATTTGTTGATATGTTAGAAGAAAGAACACGTCCAACCATTCATTACAATAAAACAGAAGAAAAAACAGTAAATAAACACTGAAAACAACAATTTATGTCAAAAAAAAATTAAAACAGTGTGAAGAAATTATAGGAAACACATAAGTTTACAAAATAGGTTAATAATACTAACACTGACTCTCAATACAAGATGCATTAAATCAAGAAACAATCATTCAAAACTTTACTACTAAAAATCATACTACTTACAAATTATAAGTAACAAAAGTTAAATACAAAATTCGTCAATGTTTTAACTGATCATCAATTATAAATTTTTAAGTAAACTTGTTAAATATTCTGATAACCAAAATAAATATCTCCATGAAAGTAAATCAGTCCATTTCAATGATGATGGTTCTTTGCATAGATTATTTGTATATAACCAATTTAAAAATTCATTGAAAGAAAATCCTGTAAAATAGATCTTAGATGATTCTAATTTTGTAATAATATCTAATGTTTTAGGAAGTAAAGGTTCCACTGGACTAAGTAATTTCACGATGCTTTCATTGAAATTGTATGATGATTGATGTTGATTTAATTGGATCCAGAATGTAATCAATCGTCTTCTGGAATAGAAAAATTCAATATGATATTAGCAATGGATGTTTATTTAATATTTTTGGCGAGACTATGCTTTATGTACGAACTAATCAGATTCAGGATAACAGGTCTTGGATTTTGGCATGAAATTCACCCACCTATTTGGCAGAATAGCGTCTCAGTATTTTAGCTGATGTCAGTTCGAGGTGAAAAACCGTAAATCTAATTACTAACCCTAAACATCAACTGTGAATTATAATACTTATTCCTCAAACCGATTTATAACCCTCATTTAGCCCTAGTTTACTGAACAGAACATTAGTGGGGACAGTCGAATGTATTTAAGCAAAAGTTACAGACTATCTCACTAAATTCTGATAACCATACAGTGAACAGTTAATTTGCAAAATAACAACCAATTGTCCCAATCTTAACTATTTCTTCTGCTAATATTAATCTGTCTTCTCTGATTTTATTGTTCATGCATTTTCATACCGATCGCGCTCCATTCTTTATCGATCTTCTGCCAAAATTCATTCTATGTCTGACAATAACCATATACTACTTATATGGATATAAGCAGACCATACCACATTATTAAGTAGGTAGGGACTCTCAAGGTCACTTTAGCATCGCTCAAAGGTCGTCCATAAATTATAGTCTTATTATACTTTCTAAATGAATGATCGGAGTAAACATTTCTCAGCAATAAATACTTAATATTGTAACAGAATTACGGTTCTTATGAGCATTTTACTAATGAATGTTAAAAAAAATCTGTATGGCATTCATATTCACTCATAAATGTTTATGACTAATCTTGCTTCTATGATATCTCTTTGTATCAGTGAAACTAATCTGATTTATGTGGTCTTGAGTGTTGTTAGAGGTTTGACTTATGAATTCTGTTATATCCTAGTGAAGATATAAGTACAGGTAATTTCCAGGACCTATTAACGGATTATTATTCTATATATATTCTTATTGTTTAACTATTGAGTAATTATATTGTGTATATCTATATTCATCTTATCATAGGCTTCATTTTGACCTATGGATTATTATTACACGATTTACTATCCCGAAATTATATTCAGTTTATTGATGATTGTCTCCCACGTTCACAGCCACATTTGGTTTGATCTTGTACAAATATTATTTTCTATTCTATGGTGTGATGCGGTCTGTCTGTCTGGTATATAAACTGAGTATGTTTGAAATTAATAATTCGTATACCAGAAGCTGCAATTGGCGTTTTAGGACTCAATTGGAAGGGCTAGGCGGATAAGGGACCAATAAGGACATTAGACTGCTCATACTGGTCGGATGTCATTGATTTGGCACGGTATTAAGATTAGATAAGTCGCATTTCGATTGGTGGATAAATCACATAATAAAAAGCCGGACATAAGACTACAACATTTTGGCATACGGCCTTGTTCTTTTTTTAAATTCATAACAAATTCTATGGTAATCTCCTTTCATTTTTCCAAATGACAGATAGATAGGAGAAAAGTATACGAACTACCATATTAGTACTTTTTTCCAATAAGATAAGAGATATGTTCTAAGTAGTTGATGAAAGCATGAACGATCATGCGGATGTTGAAAGAAATAATGAATTAAATCAACGGGATTGCTACTTCTTAACCGATCAACTTTATCGGATATTTGGAGAAGACTGAAGTCTTCTTATGTAAAAGTTTAAATATCCTAAGATTTTTCTTATTGTGATTTTGACTTTCATCCACCCTTTTTATTTGAAATATAATTACGTTTCTGTTCAACCGTGTTATGATTTGGGAACCTGTCGAGTGAAGTAGTATCCAAGATTACCAAGCAGTAAGAGTAGCTGGGGTGTAATACGAGAAACCATGACACTCATGGATTTCCAATCAAGGTTTGCCAGCTGCTCTAAGTGGACCTCCTGTATATATTAAGCAAGCATAAGCACCTCACTTTGTTAAAAGCACTCCCTGTATATGGAGCCGGCAAGGCTTCCTTGACAAAAGCTACAAATACGTCGGTGTATGAGGATATTACGAGGGCGAGCTTTCCTTACCCTTGGCTGTATCAGAGGATTCGGGGAGAGGTAGACTGTAGGTGAATGTTTCAAATGATGGCGGAACATGAATTCTCGAGCAATAAGTAAAAACAGTTCAAATGTGAAAGTAAACATTTATGTGTATATAACTCACCGAAACATCCATACACATTCTCGTTCAGGATAAAGCTCTAGAATGTCATGTACTTTTTCAAAATAACTTTGAATAATCTTTATTGAGTTTTCCAATTGCAATTTTTGATCATCTGGCGTTGGAGATAATGCGACAACCATAGATTGACCCACTAATCCATCAAAGACACTTTCCAAATAACTCCAACCACTTATATCAGTTGGGTGTTTTGATAACCAAACATCTAAATTATCCAATTCTATCTTATACGTCTATTGAATAGCAAAAAAAAAGAAACAAAAAGAGAGGATATTTGTAGCCAGTCGGTTTGTCGTCAGTGAGTCTTACTCCATGTACAAGACCACCTACAGTGATGTGTCCCAGCCCAAGTTGTCACACCTTATTTTGGCACAAGGAAAAAGGAAATTAACAAAAGTATTTGGCTTTCAACCACACTTTAAGTGAGAATGTTGGTTATTTAAACCGAAATAAGTGGAGCGGCGTTAGAATACGAAGATTAGAGGCCGAAAATAGAAAGTCTCAAACATTGATCTACTGTTCCAAATTGACAAGGTAATAATTATGCAAAGAGGAGATAGAAATTGAAAGCTAAACATGACAACTATGTCTCGAAAACAAAACAAATAAGGCTGAAAAAAAACATTTATATGTATACCACTTGAACGACAGTTAGAAATGCTATTCAGTGTTTTGAAACCGAAGTACATAGAACTGAGTACAAATATACTACACAACAGTTGAAAATGAAGTGTCCTATCTAGTCTGATCTGATAATTTACCATCCATAAAAGAGAGAACGATGAATTTTACAGATTAGATTAATTCACCATAATGTGAGTGACAGCTTAAATATGTTGAATCGGTCAATCTTTGTTTCTAGATTGTAATAAGGTAAAAAGAAACCATGAAACAAATACCTACGACTTATTCTTTTACGTTTTACGTTCCTGTTTCAGCCAAATATACAGATGAGGAAAATGTTAAAAAAATATGGGAACCAGTTAATTATTGTCATTTAATACACGGTTAATATTGAGTGGCAGACTTAAAACAGTAGTCTTGTGACCAAGAGATGGATTGAAGTCGTGGAGCTAGTGGATAAAAAAACTATAACAGTAATTAGAAAGGGAAAATAGGAATGAACAATTAACCTCAGGATTTTGTTGATGTGATAATAAAAACCGACGATATTGCCATAAACCATAATTACAACGATATTTGTCCGCTAATTTATCACATAACTTCAATTCAGATAATAGAAATTCGTGATCATTTAGATAATTGTAACGGTGAATAATCCACTGACTATTTATTGATAATTATATTAGAGTAATATGACGGATTAGCAGAATTACCGTTGAAATATAGTCTCGTATGAGCGAGGATACTTGTTTAGAATCAATTGAGTGAACCTTAGTTCTGGATTGACTGATAATTTGTTGTTTAATAGAGCTTTACGCTTAAAGTTCCAGAATGTTGTTGTGTTAGGAGATACTAACAGAAGATAATTCAGCAGATCTAAAATAAACCAACAAAACATTTTGACTCACATAGGTCATGTATAGGACGTAATTGATTTAGAAAATTTTATTTATTTGAACAAAAAAGCATTGTTACAAGGAGGCAACAAATATATATGCACTATACAAAGTAGTTACCATCAAATGTATGGAGAGCGGGTACTGTTCAGGCACCCAAACCGAAGTACGTGGTTTTCCTAGAAGGCCACTTTCCGAGCCTTTGATCCAGGAGTTCAAGCCACAAGGCAGTGGGGCAACATTAGAAGACCCAGTTCAATGATAACCGGTCAGTCAGTCGGATACAACGTAGTACCAGGCATATATATGCAACGATCTAAGTTGCCATACATTATTAGCACAACTAGATGGACACCAAATCAATAAAGTAGTCACTTCAATGGTAGTAACGTAAAAAAGGAAGATTGTGGTAGCCGGTGACCAACAATGAGTGTATATGTCATTTGTTTACTTAAGACCCTGGAGCCCATGTGCACTATTGGATTGGAAACAACGTTTCCCAACTCCCCTAGAAGGATCCTCCATATCTACCTAACCGGTTTAAGCGCCGGACATTCGCTTTTCGCCCTCTTAATTTTGTAAACAACACTACCACCGCGAAAAGGCAGTGAGTAGGACTTCCCTGGTAGTGGCTGTATACGTGTGGCCTTGTGAGAGCATTTAGAGAGGGAAAGAGGACTCATCTCACCCTCGGCCGTATCAGGGAATTCAGGGGTAACTTTAAGAGTTCTAAATTTCTGGATATTGTGCGGACGCCAAATTCTGGCAGAAATATTAACCTAACTGTGGAAATTTTGGGATACTGCCGTATTTCCTTCAATGTTACGGGAGTAATCAAACCCTAGTTGTTTCCATGATGCCCCCAAGAGTTTTTATTTCAGAAGATACTCTAAATCTCCTTGAATTAGTTAAACTTTTCTAGCATCGATACTTTGATGTGTGACATATGTCCAACGAAAGCAAAAAACTTTCAGAAAAATAAAGGCAAAACCCTAGAAGAAAACTTGGTGTCAATTTAAGTAGCAGTGTAACTAATTGTCGCTCAGTCATATGCCTGGAAAAATTGTAAGATACTTCCTTTTAATTGTCTTCTACTGGAAGATGTTTTTTTAAAATTTACTCCATGAGACGAATTACATTATACAGAACTGTTGCTTCGGGGACTAATGATATCTCTATGATCGATGACCGTAGAGATAACATCACTGGTTGATTTCAGACATTTCTGTGGACGCTACTTCTGATTTATGATAAACAAAAAACCTTGAGCTTAATTGACACAAGTTTAGCAGACATGTAGCTTTCGAATTAGTTGCCACTATGTGGTGCCCTAGTTTGCTCTAATGTTAGGCACACCACCAGTCACAACAGTACATCAGGTTGTGACAGATGCATAGTTAGGGATTGTTGTATAAATGGAAGGATGACTTTTCCAAGTGGTGAATGTGCTTTGTGAAGTGATGGGCATTTTCATCGACAGCCAAACCATTCACCATTATAGCAGCTTTGACCCTAAATGACTCGGTAAGCATGGTTCAAACGTTTCCCTTAGACATGATGTACATGATATACTTAAACAAAGAGAAAAAGTTGATAAACTTATGACCGAAATTATCGTCTCAGCGATCAAAAAATCTATTACTATCATTGTCATTTTGATTTTGGGTCCTAGCTAACACATTTCCTCAAACACTTAAAGAGAATATGCATCTGAAGAGCAGTAGAATGTAGGTTACTCCTGCCTTGTTAAGGGCCTTTAGTGTAAGAAAACAATTTGCCCTGACCCATAGACCTAAATCCGAAATTACACAGTGGTTTGACAAAATTTTAGAAAAGACTTGATAGATTTTCGCACTAAGTATGAACGGTGTTAAAGTACTGAATACCTTGTCTGTGACACCGAATCATTGGACCACATTGCTGACGATATAAATCTGAACAGAACTCTAAATTCCTACTTAACCATTCCTTTTGAGTTTTATACGAGATACAATAAGCACAGTACTTAGTAGATACACTACAGTCAAACAGGCTGTTCAGTTATGTAGGAAATCCCTTCTTAGTAGGCTACGGGTCAGTTTCTAACACCGAAAATACAGTTACTCATGATTCCAAGAAACAGGTTATGTACCATCAGAGGTACTAGGTTTGCTTCTTTTAAGACCGATAATGTAATAATTAAACGCGAACCTGGGTTAATTAACAATATCAGACAGATTAGTAAAATCAAGGTCTTGGGTTGACTCGTTTTTTCACCACCAAAACACTATCCTTTAGTGAAACAGGAACCTTTAAACGTTCAGTAGTCATGAGATATTGGTTTCTGTAACTGATGTAATATGTAAGCGTATTTCTGTAAACCACTTGAATAATAAAGTTTTTATCCCCCTACCATAGTAAGTGAACGCATGTATACATGCGTCTTTATAGGTCAATTTTTAATTTTCTCGTCGTATCAAAATGAATGGTGAACGACAGTGTATGCCTATCCTGACAATATAATGGACTTTAACATGAGTTGAATCAATCCCTATATGAACTGGCCTATCATGTGTCTGAATTCAGACTATTTCAGTCGGCCACCTTCAACCTGAAGCCTAGCATAAATATGATAGTCCAGGTTTCCATGCTCCAACGATGACGCAAAGTTAGAGGATGCATAGCAAAGAAGTGTGAAATAATGTAGTACTCATGATAATGAAAAATATTATCATTGATAGCACGATTCGGAAAGGCGGCGTAAATACGTATGTCAAGAAGTATTCGATATCCGCGTCGCCAACAAAATTGCAAACAAGTCTTTTTATAGTGTTTTGTCCTCATTATTTAAATTTCGGTTGTGTTGAGTACACGTCACGACACATGCATGTGTGGTCAATAGTTCGATAGAAGAAATAATTCCTCATGTCACTACGGAAAAACACGACTAGCAAAAGTTTCACGTACCGTCAGAAACAGGTTCTGATGTATTTGATTCGTATTCGCCAAATATGATAGTTGTTGTACAATTGCATATCCCAAAAGCTTCATCACAAACGCACAAAGGTTTATGATCTCCTTGCTCTATATGAGGTATTATGTCGTATTCTGAACTATTTGTTTCGGAATAATATTACATTTATATTACAAACCATGTTTCAATGGCGTTTTTCAACGAAATTAGGAAGGACTTAAGGTCGACTAAGTTGAAGGTCATGCGGCGAACCTTTTTGAAAAGAACACAACACTCAATATTTTTGAGATGATTTAATATAAACAAATACCCCAGTGTTTTCGTGTCAAGAAGCAGGAAAGAGGTTTCATGAAATGTCACGAAATATTTAGTCTCTAATCTGAGAGAAAGTAGGCAGATGACATGTGATAGTTATTTAAGTCTGATTCTCCGTAAAAAAAAACACGCTCGCTCTAAATGTATTCAGCGACGAAAGTGATACCACTTGTTAGGGTGCAGTACTTAATCCGCTGACAATAAGATCAGAGAGGCTGAATGACAACATCTTGTGATGGTGTCGGATATGATCAGTTCTGAGTACGATGACATCACATGCCGACATGTAATATCAGTGTGAAGTCGCAAAATTTACTGTCCACTCAGGGGGTGAATAAAGCATTTTAAAGAGTTATTTTCGACACAGTTTACAAATTGGCATATAAAGTTGCATTATTTGCTGAATTACAAATCTCGTGTTTGATTGAGTTACATTAAGTGCGTGAAACTGACTTGCACTATGTGTGATTATTGAGTGGTGGACTGGAGTTCACAATCAAGATTTCTATACAAGTTTTATGTTTTCAAAGCTGTTTAATATGTTTGAAAGACATGCATCGCCTAAATGGTTCAATGATGTATGCATTCATTGATGTAGACAATCTTCAGAGAAACAAACTTTTATAAATGCTACTGGTATTCAACACCTCTACACATAAAACCTGTATAATCGAAATAAATTAACACAGTCAAATCAGAAGTCAGATATGAAAGGATTTGAATGTTTATTTGGAAAGATGTTGATATGTTGAGAATCATTTAATCTTACCCGGCCAAAATGCAACTGTGCTTGCGTAAGACCAAAAAGCGTGCGTCAAAATGGAATATCGCAAAAAACTAGTCGTGCACAATGGTATTTTGAATTCTTATAGAAAAAGATACACGCTCATATATGAGAGAATAAAAAACACCGTTTTATTTTTTGTTTTTTTGAAACAAAAATGCAAACAAACGGGATAAAACAAAGTGTTTTGCAGTGTTCTACATGCAGTAATCGGTTAGGTGTTCTGGAGAACTAACCCTCATTCCAGAACGCGTTGTTTTGGGCCGGCTGTCAAATGCAACCGAAGCTTTTTCGTGATTTTTTTTAATCGGGTGTGGTGTCGTCACTGTATGCCTAGAGTTGATCGAGTATACCAGAAGTAAAATCAACATTATCGGGCTTTTCTTCTACATTCGCGGTCTTATGACGATCAATGCTCATGATGTCGTGGGTTTCGTTCTCATCGATGATATAGTACTTAGGCTTACGAGGAAGCACTTTAACGGTTCTTTCTTATGATATTTAGTGAGGTCGTCAGAGTGAATCGCGACGTACAATAATATGTGTACTATATTGGAGGGCAGGTTGAACGAAAACATCAAGTGACTGCGGTCGAGTGGAAGCTAGTTTAACTGAATGCGTTGCATTTGTAAGCATGTTTATGTAAGAGTCTAGATCCATATTCGTTGTAGAAGGTTAAAGGTCTAGTAATTCTCCTGAAAGTCGGAGTGTCGTACCGTGAATGAGTTGTTCTGCAATGTATCCAAGTCAGCTTTCACTGCATTGTGAATGCCGAGTGAAACAAGAGGAAGAGATTCAGTTCGTTGCGAAACGTTTGTAGCTGTAAATATGTAACTGTGTAACTGTAAATGTGTCACATAGTAATGTTTCCCTTCCATCTATTTGATGCTTACATTCGCGCGCTATTTAAAAGGACAGTGGTATTGTTTCACGTTGAGTTTAATTCACTGTTTTGATAGTAAATTACGTATCAAAACTACCGTTTGCACTTTAATTGAATTTATTTCAGTTAACGTGATATTGTATTTGTGTGTTTTGATTCTGCTTTTGTGTATTTACTGCATCAAAGCATTCTTGGTCGACTGAGGCTTGTTTATTTGATAAGGTTGTGATTTATCTTACATATCTACCTTGCCTATCATTTTGTTTTATTCTAAGATGGTCGGCTCTGTACACAAGTGTGGACAGCCATATTGCCTATTCCCCGTGGACGAAGGGATGCAATGTGACGATTATAAGAAGTGGTTTCATAAAATGTGCACCCGCTTAAGCCCTGCTGCCTATAAAAGGTGCTCGAAACCCAATTCTCATTGGCTCTGTATGTTTTGTTGCTCAAGTAAGACATTACTCATACAGGAAGCCATCAGCCTTCTAGCGTTAGCTAAAAAGGTCGAAGTAGGCCGTGCCGGCAACGTAGATACTGATAATGAAGATTGTATCAGTGTCGTAAATGCTGCCATGGCAGGTACCAGACACCCAATTTCGCAACAGGAAGCAACAATTTGTACTCCGGTACAACCAGTGAAAGCCATGCCATTCAGTACTGAAGGACCAGTCGCTTTAGCAGCGACTGAGGACCCGGCTAGAACCACTATCGTCCAGAATAGTTCCAATCTGGATGCTGAGAATAGTGGCAAATGGATTACGCGGAAACGCAAAAGAGACGGAAAAACACCCAAAGAAAGCGCGCGTATAGTCGGTAAGTCATCGTTGGACTCACGTCCTGAGCATCAGGCAACTCCGCTCAATTCCATATGTAAGGAAATAATTAATACTGTTGTGGATGGAAATAGTCTAACTTCACCAAATGTTGTTGGGAGTAACTCGCTTGACCCACATGACACTGTCATAAAGAAAGCTAATAGCAAGAAGCCGGTAGCTAACCGGCAGGATCTGACATCACGGTCAAAGGCCGTGAACACGACGTTTAAGGCAGTTAAACAGGTCCCTAGTGTAATCATCTGGACCTTGGCAGAATCGAAAGACACTGATCCCGCTAAGAGACATGCCCACGACCTGCAGTTAGTGGGATCTCTCATCAGAAATATACTGCCAGAGGAGGTCCCAGGGGTACATATCTCGAAAGTCATCAGACTTGGTAAGTATGTTGGAGGCGAAACCCAACAGAGAAGGATCCTCAAATTAGTACTCGGTAATTTTGAGGAACGGGACGTATTACTAAATAACTCACGCAAAACTCGTGACTCAAACATTCGTATTTGACCTGACTGGCCACTTGAGGATCGGATCAAGTGGAAGAATGCCCTAATAGAGTTAAAAACTCGAAGGCTAAACGGTGAAGCGAACCTTACGATTAAGGGTTTTCGGGTAGTCAGGTCTTGGAAGCCAATGCTTCCGAGACCTGTGTGGGTAGAACGCATGTCTCCAAAAACACCCTAAATGTGTGTTATACGAATGCTCGTAGTCTTCGGAATAAGATGTCTGAACTAAGTTTGATGGTAGACGACTTAAATCCCGATATAATTGTTATCACCGAAACTTGGCTCACTGTAGATATAGACTGTTCTCCAGTCATTTCAGGCTACATCTGTGTCAGAAGTGATAGAGTTAGAAGTCGCAAGGGAGGAGGCATAATATTATATATTAGGGACCACTTCCGCATTAACTCGATCATATCGGAGGCGCATGTAAGTGGTACGTGTGAGGTAGTATGTTGTACAATTAGGTCTAGAAACGGGTTAGTGACGATAGGAGGAATATATCGTAGTCCGTGTTGTCTCGCTGACGACTTTATCCTAAAACACGTCTGTTCTTGGAGTAAAGCAGAATGTTGTCTCATCGTTGGAGATTTCAATGCACCCCATATAAACTGGATAGAGCTCACAGCTCCAGGTGGGGGTTTCGATAGCGTCCTTCTGTCATCAATTATTCAATGTGCACTTGTACAATGTATCGTTAAGCCAACACATATAGACTTGGAACATAATCCGTCATTGATAGACCTTGTCCTCACACACCACTCAGAAGATATCGTTGACATTCAACATCTTCCCCCACTGGTGAATAGTGACCATGTCGTACTTTCCTTTAAGTTCCGGATACATGGTATAGAATTTGCATCAGCTCCACCCCGTCCTAATATCTGGAGAGCTAATATTCCGGCAATCAGGGACTATGCTATCTCAATTGACTGGTCGGTCGATGCTGATGGATCGATTGATGATGCATGGAATAGGTTTAAGTCTACGTTCGAATCCGTAACTCAACCGTTTATCCCATGGTCAGCACGTAAGTTATCATATTGCCCTCCATGGATTAATAAGGAAACCCGGAAGCTGTTGAAGCGTAGGAAACACTTCTGGGACTTATTCTTGTCAACAGGTCAGGCATCATTTAAGTGCGAATATAAAAAAATCCGGAATATATGTAAAAAGACCATAGCTAAATCCCGCACGGCTTACGAACGACAGTTGGCATACGATAGCCGTACCTGTCCGAAGCGCCTGTTTTCGTACGTTAAAAGGCGGACGAAACGTAGTGATGGCATCCCCTCATTACTGTTAAGCGAAAATTCAGCTTTATTGGCTGAATCTGATCTGGCGAAAGCGGAGTTATTTGCTAACTATTTCAGTGAAGTCTACTCTACGTGTAGTGTTACAACTACTTGTCCCGTTGACAATGAGATACCAGCCATAGGACCTTTACACGTGACAGAGGATATAGTTCTTCCTTTGACAACTAACCTAAAACCTTGTAAGATACCGGGCCCCGATGGTTTACACCCACGTTTGCTGTCGTCGCTTGCGGACATTATCTCAAGACTGCTCACGATGCTCTTCAACATGTCCCTTTCACAGGCTCAACTACCTAGAGACTGGAAAGACGCCATAGTTAGTCCTATATTTAAGGATGGTCAGAGACGTATATCATCTAACTACCGGCCTGTTAGCCTGACCAGTATAGTAGTTAAGTTACTTGAAAAATTAATTCGGGCTAAGCTACTGAGCCACATAGATTCGTAACTCCCGAGCAACATGGGTTTCGTAACAAGCATTCATGCTTGACTAACTTACTCATTGCGAGAGAGGATTGGACAGCTGCACTAGACAACGGCCAGTCTGTCGACGTGATATTTATAGATTTTAGCAAAGCGTTTGATAAGGTTTCACACTTAGGTCTTATGCAAAGCTCTCGAGCTTTGGTATAACAGGTGCTATACAGGAATGGATAGGAAGCTTCTTATGTGACCGCAGACAGAGAGTGAGAGTCAATGGAACTCTATCCGAATGGAAACCGGTCAAAAGTGGTGTACCCCAAGGCACCATCTTGGGCCCTTTACTTTTCCTTCTGTATATTAATGAACTACTTTTATTACTTAAGTCGTCGACGTTATTGTTTGCGGATGATGTTAAAATCTGGAGAACAATAAGAAATGAGATTGATCGTTGTTATCTACAAGCAGATTTAGACGAATTAGTTAGGTGGGCTCATGATTGGGGCCTGGAAGTTAATTCCAGGAAGAGCGTGTTCATGCACATCGGGCACGATATTAGTTACCACTATACCATTAATGGTACATCTCTGCCACGCGTTCATACGCATAAAGACTTAGGAGTAATTATAAGTCACGACTTAAAAACTACTACGCACTGCAGTGCGGTTGCGTCCAAAGGCTATCGCGCGCTATGGTCGCTTCGCAGAGCATTTAAATGCTTTGACGAGGATATGTTTCGAATTTTATATCCCACCTATGTAAGGCCACATTTAGAATACTGTATCCAAGCAGCTAGCCCTTGTCTGATAAAGGATACTAAATCGCTTGAGCGTGTCCAGCGTGTAGGGACAAAATTAGTAAAGGGTCTTTCCAAACTCCCTTACGATGAGCGTTTAAAACGTCTAAATCTTTTCCCCTTATCTTATCGTAGGACGCGAGGTGACCTTATACTGGCATTTCGTATCTTTAATTATGATCTGGGTGTTAATATGTCTTACCTTTTTGCTCCCTCCAGCACTAATAATCTCCGGGGTCATAGCAAGAAGGTTCTGAAACCGCGATCTAATAAACTAAAGGTGGGGTCCCGTTTTTCTCATCGAGTGGTCAATGACTGGAACGCTTTACCAGAACAATTGGTATCAGCACCATCAGTGAACATTTTCAAAAAGAAGCTGGACCTTCACTGGAAGGAAATCTGTCAGGATTAACACAGGTTCATCAACCTACTATCCTTATTACTGAAGACTGAAGACATAGTTTCAGGGTTGTAGAAAATAGATCGTGCAGAGGAACAGTGTATACTTTTTGAAGATGGGCGACTTTAAGGTTGGCTCCTTGTAAATCGAGTTATGGAAGGAGTCCGCAACCACATTGTTTGCCCCAGGACTGTTGTACACCTGAGGAAGACTGCGAGATGTAGTCCAGTTGCAGAGACTCTCGAGGGAAATACTTGTCTGGAGATGAACTTAAAAAAAGGTTAGAGGTTTGTGGTCGGTGAAAAAAGTGAATTCTCGGCCCTTCGCACGACACAACACATGACTACTAGTCCCTTACCGAATGTGTTATACCTCAATCCGGTGTCTTGCAACCATTTCGAGGAAAATAATAAAGGTTGCCATGTGTTGTTTTTCTACAGTTTCAAGACTTCTCCGATTGCCGAGTCGGATGTGCGTACCGCAGTACTAATGAGTGTTTTGATGTCCTGGTCTATGAACATGGTTGCTTTCGAATTAATTTCCTTAACTGTAGTGATTGTATTTTCCTCTTTGCCATCATGGCTAGAGACATACGGTAATGTCGGTCGCGTTTGGTATAATTCAAAACATTCATTGGTGGTATGGGTCGATTATGTGACTGGTGACAATCTACAGCCAGAAAATGAAGGTACACCCACCGATAGTTTATTATTTACATAAACTGACCTCAGTTTGTACATGTCGACGAGTAGATTATGGTTTTGTAGCCTATTTACACCAATAATTGACATAGAAATGTCAACAACGAAAATCTAGTGCATGGGTTTACGTAAACCCATGTTAAGATAAACACATTGCTTACCATATGCGGTAATCAGTTTTCCATTTGCCGCCTGTGAGTCGAAGACCTGTTTATGCAGACCAGCTTTAGGATATACAGAAGAAACACTCAGTTAGCAAACTTTCGTCATCGCAAAACAGCAATATATGACGGATGGTTATGCCCACCAGCTACGGTCACTGCTAACTCGTGACAGCTCCAAAGTTTTCCGGAAGGCTTTTGAAGCTTGGTGAACTGCAGAGTTTTCTGCAGTTTCCAGAAGACTTATTGTAACAACCGGAATATCAATGTTCGGTCTGAGCGCAGAACTAGCGGACCAAAGTTTACTCGATCAGGCCATTCTATGTTCTTATGTATGGTGTGCAAAGCGTTTTTGAGTGAATTATAATAAATTATATGAAAATCACATAATACCTAAAACCGTACAGATTGAGCTATACTACCAAGGGTTTCTATTACACAAGCCGACGTTCTAAACAACAAAAAAGAATAGTTAATAAGCAAAAGTTCCATACCTGGGAATCAACAACATTATTCCCAACAGGATGGGTTCAGATATCTGTCTGCAAGTGTCCCAACAACCATTCCAAGCAAACATCTAAAGGTTAACACTCATACTGTAGACCACGGTAAGACTTTTAGTATAGTCAAACACGACCTTATTGTTAATGTCCAGGTAGCATGCAACAGTAAACTAAGTAACAAAGAGTTAGTCGTTAACCAAGATGAATTAACGAGAGCCCGAACAAGGAAAACTGAAGAACATATGTGGTTAAAAGAGTCCTGAATATGCGTTTAAATGAAAGGCACGGAGAAGAAACACATAAATGTCATTACTGTTCAACAAAATACCGTCGAATTATCTTCAGCGTTTTCTTAACGTTACACTTTGCACACTTATTGTGGTTTACAGACCGTTCCTCAATGAGACCAGCTTTTTCGAGGAGCTTAGTAGCGTCTCTGATTGCGATAAATATTTATATAATGAGAGCATGACAGCGATCTGAAACGTAACTTTGAGTGATTTGAGGTCTTTCCTTCACAGATTAAACCTCGGTGTTGAGGGTACTGGTGATCTCCAGAATCTGGTGGGCAGACGCAACCAATTTGTCTACGGCGTAATTTTGGAATGAGACAGGAACCGCATGCACATGTTGAAGATGATCAGACAAGAGGAGTTGTCTAAATAGTACCTCTTCGAACATCCGTTGAACACTGACCTCTCGCATAAGTAGCGGCCTTTCTGTTGCTGACCCATACTGAAACTCGATGTTGTTGAAGAGCTAATCTAACCTTTGTTGATCGGCCAAATCTCGGCGTTTAAGTATAGCCTTCTTTAGAGTGCCTTAGCTTCAGAATCATTACCGCTAAACATACAAGACATGACATGCCTGCTGAAATCAAGCAGCGGTGCCTTCAATACTGCGAGGAATCGCGCACGTGTGTGTGTTTCGACCTTATTGCGCCAGAATGGAGTGAGCTGAAAAGTGGGAGGCGAAGGAGTCCTAATTTGAAACAACCTGGTTGTCTGTTTTGTCCTAATGAAAATAAAATACACAAATAAGCGAAAAAATTCGAAAATATAGAAACGATATAATTGTATACAAAAATAGAAAAAAATCATCTAATGCTGCAACAAAAACCAAACCCATTGATTACTGTTTGGTATACCATATAAAGTCATGCTCATTACTAAAAATGCCACAGGTAATCAAAGTTTAACAACACCTCTAAACATAAAATCTATATAATCGAAATAAACTAACTCAGTCAAATGAAAAGTCAGATATGAAAGGATTCGAAGGTATATTTGGAAAGATGTTGATATGTTGAGAAACAATTAATGTAACATGGCTGGTAATCGGGTGGAATGTGTAGCGCACCATACACACTCGTTATTTGATGCGGATGCGTGGCTGGAAGCTTACAGCTAGGGTGTGGCCAGTAAAACTAATGAGGTCGGCATCAATGTTGAGGACTTACAGAACTATTTATTTTGTGGGTTTACTTAACACAGCATACTATCTTGTCACTTAAATAGCAATTATTAAAACATACATCTTCATAATGACATAGTTTGTTAAGAAAACAAATCAAGCACTGGAAAGAGTAATCGTAGAATCCTGTTCCATGCTTCGTATTATTGTTTTAACCCTTTTCCATGACAACAAGAGTTAGTATATTTTCAAACTTTTGAGGTGATTATGTGTCCATCTGGACGAAATCCCCATCCACCAATTACACTAGAAAATGATGATACTTTTACACGTTTGCCAAAAAAGGAGGTATGTCTGTCAACAGATCTGACTTTAGTGAAGCACAAAGTATTCAATCTTCCACCTCATTTGGCTCGTTTAGAAGATCCTTGGAATAAACTTTGCACACACCATACTCTTTCTAGTCTAAGACGTACAGTAAGTTAGAAATTTAAACGTCAGGGTATCCGAAAGATTGAATATAACGACCCAGAGGCTCCAAACGATGACCTAGATTTCAGGCTTAAAGCAAACTATGACCAGCATATCCATTGGTGGAAGTCCAACGCTGAGGCTTTGATACAGCTAGAAACATTAAATAAAACAAAGTACGATCACATACGTGTTTGTTTTTCGAAGGCGTATTCACTGTTAGAATTTCTGTTTTCTTACATTTCTAAACATAATCTCTCGATTTGGGAAAAAAAATTGTCAGCTTTTGTGGAATTTTAGGTTTTCCCCAATATCTCATCATTATCTCTTCAAATTTCGTGAAAAACGTGAATTTTTGTATGACGAAAAACTCCTGATTATTTTTTTGTATTTTTTCGACATTGTGACGAAAAATGTAAGTTAATGCTGATGTTTGTTTTGAAAATACAGCAACCAGAAACTCAATTAACCAGAAAATTGTTTCTTTTGCAGTATTATTAATAATAAATAAATCCGAATGATAGGTATGGGAAGCCTAGACATATCAAATACCACTTCAAGGAAAAAAAGCTCACAGGCTACTGCTTGATCGGACAGTGTGTATGAGATGCAAGTATATACAGGCTGTTGTAAGAGAACTGTTCGCTAACTAAGGTCATTGCTTACATATTCATGTAGTGATAAGTTCGGTACTGTATAGGTAAATAAATGACTTATGTAAATATTCACTTAATGTTTGGCGAAATAACTTCCTATTCACTCTTAGTCTTCTTAATCTGCGTTGCTAATTGAGTAATCGTTAGGAGTAATGTATTGCTATTGAATTGGACTCTAGACACAGGAACCAGATTACCGGTATTTTTTAGGATAGAAAAATCCAGTAGCTGATACTCACACTTTTGCACAAAATTTATCCTACTACGTTTCAAACATCAAGCAAGCACAGTACTTTTATGCATCTTCAGAGTTTCATATTTAACAAATCCAGATTTGTTAAATCTCCAGCTTAATGTAAAAATAAGTTAAAAAACGGGAGACAGAATAAGAGTTGTCAATTTAACAGTGAAGTTTCAGATTAAGAAGTCCATGATTCATCTATATAGTTGTTATCAACTTTGGATTATTTTGCCATTATTTTCAGTCAAATAACGTTTATAATCCGAAGAGAAGCATATTTGAAAATTTACATTTTCCCACTAGATTTACACCATTAATAGATTGATTAACATAAATTAATAATATAATCAGTCTCATCTTTCACAAGTATGATGATACTGTGATCATAAATAGAATGTCATTTTTCGAAATATTTACGAAAATTGACTGATTGTTGATGTAACACCTTTTTGTTTGGTATTCATATTAGCTTAAACATCTGTGTGACAAACCACTTTGACAGCCAAAAGTATAACAGAACCTGTAAGATTTGTGCATCGGTTTGTGTTACCATACTGCATTAGCATGGTAAGATTAAATTATTAAAACAAAAGCTAAAGTATAAAAAGTAGTAATAGCATCAGGAGTACAAAGTACTATTTACGAATGGTATGATTCGGCACGAAAGAATGAATTTTCAGGATAGGAAGATTTACGATGATTTCAAAATTTGAGATCTAAGGAAAGATAAGAAATAAGTGTATTTATGCCAATTGGACTGATTTTGATTAATGTTCTTTAATGCCTTCAACCATCACTAAAAACTCCACATGTACTCCAAGCCAATAGTGTACTTTCACTAATATGACTCAGAAAAGCTAATGATTTCTTGATTTAATGATTCAATTTGTTGGTTTTATCACTCCTAATCACCTTTAAAATCACCCCTGCACTACCATACATCAAAATTTTTGGTTGATAGTGATGAAAAAGCATTTCATTTACCAGCCCATCCCCTCATAACACCAATAAACAACACAAGAAATGTGATATGATGCTCCTATTTCCCCATGAAAATCTTATTAATTAAATGTATTTTTTTGTGTAATGTTAAACTTTTGTTTTTAGGAGGGTGCTTAAAAATCGACCACCAAAACCTGTAATTATACGTCCACCACCAAGTCAACCTTTTACAATATGGACAAGTGATTGTAGAGAACGACTTGAGCATGTTTCGGAAGCAATCGGTAATAATAAACTGGTGATATATATTTATTTAAGTATACGTTTATATGATTGATGTCATAATGAAACCCTACGTAAAATATACCATTATATATTGGTTTACAAAAAATGCGAAAATCAGGTCTTCTTACATAACATAACACCTAGCATGGGTGTATACCATTTTTCATTCATCATGTCAGCACAATGAACAAGACAAGATCAACTGTTTGAGATAGGGAAAAGGAAACTTTAAATACTGAAGTAAAAAAGTTAAATATACACTTCTAAAGGAACAAACGTTAAAAAGATTTAATCGTTGTCATAATTTGTCGTTTACGAATTTCCATTTCAATAATTACCGGGTACTTTTCAGAATGAACAATTTCGTCTGAATAATATTCAAAATAAGTTTATCATTTTATATTTACCAGTTATGGGGCCAAAAAGACGTTAGCTGCTGACAATGTTAAAGAACTAGAACGCTCATACTTACTTACTTACTTACTTAAGCCTGTTACTTCCAATGGAGCATAGGCCGCCGACTGGCATTCTCTAACACACTCTGTCCTGGGCCTTTGTTTCTAGTTCTATCCAGTTGTTGTTCATTCTTCCCATGTCTATCTCTATTTCTCGGCAATAATGTGTTAATTGGTCTTTCTTTTCTCCTTTGACCTTCAGGATTCCATGTGAGGGCTTGTTTTGTGACGCCGTTGGGTGACTTCCTCAATAGAATATCCAAACTATTAGACTGTAATTTTATTGGTTCACGTTTGAAATAAGTTTATAACACATTTCACTGTAAAGCGAAACCCATTCGAAATCACATTATTTTAGATAATTCCCGAATTTTTCGGCCTTTGCTTAGATTAATTGTTTAGGGCCATTGAAGTGGAAGCTATTAATTCATCAGCTAAATTTCTGTCAATACTTAATGTCGAATACATAATGTCACTTCACCTTAATTGACTTGTAATAGCTCAAAACAAGGGTGATAAAAGTACAAGATATACTTCAAGCAGTTTGGACGACAAAAACGTCAGTAGTAGAATCACAAAGGTTTATGCTTAGAGTTTAGAGGAGGACGTTTTAGTTCAATCTTGGCAGATCAACTAGCACTAACTGTTCGCTAATTAACTAATCAGCTTGACATGACAAAATAACTTTGATGATTTTATTTTGTTAACAATTCATATGAACGTTAAGTAAGCGCTGGTCATTTTGTCCAGAATGGTAAAGAAGGCTTCTCAATAAAACCATCCAGATCAGAAAATTCAATAACAAGAGTTATTCACTACTTTGATTATGTAGACAACTGCTACCTATTTCACAGTGTTTTTCTGATTCATATCAACTTTGATTAGATCGCTTTTAAAATATACGAAGTTCTCATGAATGGCATGATTTTATACTAGGCAAACGAAAAATATTTATTACAATTTTAATAGTTGAGATCATAAATCAATTGAAGCTAGACCACCATGAAAAGCCTGGAAGCACTGGACGGCCGTTTCGTCCTATTTTGGGATTCCTCAGTGGCAGTTCGCATCTACGATCCTACCTCATGAGATTCGAACCCAGTATCTATCAGTCTCGTGCGCGAACGCTTAACCTCTAGACCACTGAGCTATCCGGCATCCAACGGTGTTGGCGTCTAACTCCAACCAATCCACCAGATTGAACAACCATCCACCAGTTGTCTTCAGTGAGTTACTACGTCACAACAGACCCGGTTGACTCATGATCTGAACTATTAAAATTACTATATTATCCACAAAAACCCCTTCTGATATTTATTACGGTTTGTTTCAATTACATTCAATGCGGAACTACAATGATGAAGAGCTAACTAAAAAGAACTCAATTATAAACTTAGTTAACTTTTCCTTATGTGTCAAATCGAACACGGTTTATATGTACACTCTTTGTTTTCATAACACACATCAACTGAGCTACCAAATATTTTTAAAAGATCACCTTAACTACTAATTAGTAGTATAACTATTAATTATAGTTGAAAGCATGAGTCAATTGAAGCTAGACCACTATGGAAAACCTGGAAACACTGGACGGATGTTTCGTCCTATTATGGGACTCCTCAGCAGTGCACATCCACGAACCCGCTCTCGCGTGATTCTAACCCAGCACCTACCAGTCTCGAGCCCAAGCCCTTAACCGTTAGAACACTGAGCTGGCATCCAACTGTGTTAATGTCTAACTTCAACTGATCCACGAAGTTGAGCAACCATTCACCAATTGTCTTCAGTGAGTTCCTATCTCACAACAGACGTGGTTTTGAACTCCACTGGTCACTAATTCTCACTAGAGCTCCTAGATATACTTCTCACGCTTTCAACTATAATAAATACTAAATCTCCACAAAACCCCTTCTATAATAACTATTAATCTTAAATTTCTTCTTATTCTATTTAGATGCCAATCATACACAAGCAACAAATGGTGGTTATTCAAGAAAACCAGATGGCAATAAATTTATAGCTTGAATAGGCAATACAGAACAATTTGATTAGATAAAGATAAAACATTGAAGAGATATTTACACTCCCAAGAAATACTTCAGTTGATGATTTAACAAACTGACACAGATTTATTCTTTTTAAGGTACTCTTTAATTAAATTTGATTGTGTCTATTTTCAATTATTAAATGAAAAGTTTATTGTTGTGCTTATTAACAATTAAGAATAAATAAAGAGTAATTACAAACTTGAGTACATTGGAATTCTATTACAGTATAACATTTCAACATTGATAATTCACATGTTAATATGAGATGAAGATGACAGAATTTTTAATTCAAAGAAAAGTTCAGTGAGATTATCCTTGCTTTGAGAAAAAACTGACATATATGTTATTATCTAGAGCTTAGATTCTTGATATACCGCTTACAACTTGAGCACCCGGACGTTGGAACCTTCCAAGTCGCAAAATGAGAAGACAGGAGATGAGTGAGAAGGAATGTTATTCCAAAACAGCGTTAAATATGGTAAAACGCTCTCAGGTATTTAGAGGTTTTAGTAAAAGTGAAATCTTCATTATAGCACTTGTCTAATAGGAGGCTAGATGCCGAGATTCTGCAATGTTCTTCCAAGGAGTGATTGAATGGAATATCTTCCGATCTTTCTGAGCTTCTTGAAGCTTTCTCGGGTTCATCCGTGGGCTGTTCTCATAATATAACAACATAAATAATATGAAATATCCTTAGAAAATTATTGTGGATTATCTGAATGAAAAACGCAAACATTATAAAAGCTAAGGGGAATAGAGCATTCTTAAAAAGTTGTTATAAATGGGAATCAATTAACAAAGAACAGAGAAAACTAATGAAGGAGAAAATAATGTCAAAATGAGGGTTTGTAGAAATTGTAGTAATTTAATGGTTGAATTCATCAGTCGATTTAAGCTAGACCATTTTGAAAAACTGGAAAGTACTAGACAGCCGTTTCATTCTAGTATGGGACTGGTGAGGAGTCTCATACTAGAAAAGAATGTGTTTAATACTAACCTATAATTTAAGTCCTCCTAATCATTGTTATCTTCATATTCTTACTCTAAAGCACCATTCATTAAAATTGTAGGCAGGGGACATTTATTGATCTTTTCGATGTATAGTTTCTTGTAAAATCCGTTTTCCTTTAGAAATCCTCTCATAAAATTCAAAGCATACACAAAAATCATATTAAGTGAACATTAGAAAAACAATCGATCTATTAGTTGACTTTATTCCGTTAGTCACCCATCACTAACTTAAAGTGGTATGTCCGGAAACCCTATAATTTGTAAGTTAAAATATTGTGTTAATAAAGTCAGAAGGGGTTTTGTGGAGATTTCAGTATTTTTATAGTTTAAATCATGAGTCAATTGAAGCTAGACCACCATGGAAAACCTGGAAGCACTGGGTTCGTGGATGTGTAATGCTGAGGAGTTCCATAATAAGACGAAACGGCCGTCCAGTGCTTCCAGGTTTTCCATGGTGGTAGCCTAATACATCTTCTGAGAAAGGTTTCAACTACTTTAAATAAACGTTCTGATCTTTATGTTACAATGAATGATAAGACTTTTCTGTCATATTCATCTTTCGATAGACGATGCTAAATTAACTAATGAAACAGCTTTACACAAATGAATCATGTGTAAGTGAAATTACACTGATTTTCAATAAAACTATCGTCTATTATTACTGTCTTCACTCATTAATCTTTGGACAAACTTAATAACAAATCTCATTTAATTTGTACGAGGGCTGTGATACTGTCCGGGGGCCCAAACCGAAGCAGGTGGTTTTCTTAGGTAACCACACCCGAAGCCTTTGATCTAAACGTTGCTGTAACCAACGATTGATTCATACACCATTTGTTCCTTAAGAATATTGGAGAAATCACATGTGCACCATTGGTTTGGAATCAGGGTTTTCCAACTCCCCTAAATGAACTTTCTGTATCTGATAACCCGGTTGAAGCGCCGGAGATTCGCTTTTCGTCCTCTCATTTTCGTAAACAACACCCGTGATGCGAGAAGGCAGTGAGCAGGACTTCTCTGGAAGAGGCTATATACGAGTGGCGATGTGAGAGCATTTGGAGAGGGAGATCGGACTCTTTCTTGCCACACTCGGCCGCACCAGGGAATTTGGATGAGGAACTTAGGAAAAGACGCTTGGGGTGGATAGGACACATATTAAAGAAATCTTTAAACTGCATCACGAGGCAAGATCTAATTTGGAATCCTGAATGGAAACAAAAAGGAGGAAGACCAAGGAGCACACTGTGTCGGGAATTTGAACTAGACATCGAAAGGATGAATAGCAACTGGAAAGAACTAGAAAGGATTGCCCATGACAGAGTTGGATATCGGATGGTGGTGAGAGGCCTATACTCCTCCATGAGGAGTAAAAAAGATAAGTAAGTAAATATGAAAAGAGTAGTTTGTATAAAAATAAAACTAACATTGTTTAACTGAGAATAAAACGCCTTAACTGTGACAACCTCTAGTATGTTTTGTTGCTTAGGAAATCACGCTTAAACGACCTTGAGAAGGTCCACCTACTGAATAAGACTAAATGAGGGTTATAAAGCAATGTGAGGAATTAGAATTATGATTTACATCTTATAGTTAGCGTTAAGAACTAGATTTGTGGTTTTTCATAACGAATTGAAATCAGCTAAAATACCACAATGTCATTTAATCAAATTTATGAATGAAATTCGCGCTAAAATCTCAGACCTGTTATCTTATATCTGACTGGTTCGTCCATGAATAACGGAATCGTCGAATTTGTCCTCAAAACATTAGTAAACACATTTTACCTACTATCAAAATAATTAAGTAGTCTAAATAATTATTCAAAATATTTCGAATGAACAATACATTCAAACCGAACTTATTCAAATATAAAATAAAGAACATTTCCAAGCATTTAAACTTATTTATACATTATATAACAAAATAGAAATAAAAAGTATCACAGAAACAGGTATCACAAGATCAATTAACAATAACCCGATACATCTCCTCTTTGTGTTGTTGTTGTTGTTGTTGTTAGTGACCCTCATGGTGTTGTTTCCTGGTGTTTGATGATCCATTGACAACTACCGATAAAATTAAAACAAAGCACTCAATAAATTGAGTTACATAAAAGATATGTTTTAAAGGTGATAAACAACTAGTTGTGGTAAAATATGAATAAAGAATAGTGGCAATAATACAAATCATAATAAAAAGAAATAACAAAAATGAAAAAAAAAACACATTTGAATAAATCAAAAATAAAAGTAAAGAACAAACTTTTTCCACCCCATCACACTCCCTCTCTGAACGATCCATATTTGTGTATTTGTTTTTTTTTTTTGGATGAGTATACATGTGTGCATACGTAAATAATTAGTGGGAGGGGTGGGGTTGAGTAAAAACTTGACAGTCACTTCATTATCACTAATCAATAGTTTTTGGATGGAATCATAAAGTGTTTCTCTCTGGGTTTTTTTCTTATTCTAAATAAACAAATATCATTTACATTATACATGTATTGTAAATTAAAGGGAAATATGTGTTTAGGTTTGTTTGTTTGTTTTTATCTTACAAATAAACAAACAATAACAAAATAAAAACGGACTTCTTTCCCCCCCCCACCCTTCAAATATCATAATTTCTTGGCATATTAATTAAATCAATAGATTCTGGTCCACGACGATATCTTCTCCATATTGTTCGACGACATCCACAAAGAAGTACAGTAAGAGTACAAATAAGGCCACCAATAATAGCAAATGCTAATATAATTAGACCATCATCTGTAATGGTAAGAAAAAAAAGAAATAAACATAATGGATGTCTTCAAAGTAGTGCTCTAGCATGTATAAGGGTAATCGAGTAAATGATTCTATATTCAGATGTGGAATACTAGGTAAAGATTGGAGGTCTATTGAAGAAGTAATAAAATTAAATTTAGTAGGATATGTTGTAAATATGCCCTACCATTGTGGTGTTGTCTACTTATATCTATATAAGTAGTATATGGTATGGGTCAGACATAAAATGTATTTTGGCAGAAGACCGATGAAGAAAGAACTGAAATGAAACGCAAACGTCTGGAAAATGCATGAGCAATGGAATAAGAGAAGAAACAGTGAAGATTGAAACAATTGGTTGTTAATTTGCAAATTGACTGTTCATTGTTTGGTTATAAGAATTTATTGAGATAGTCTGTAATATTTGCTTAAATACATTCGATTGTCCCCAACTAGTGTTCTGTTCACTACACCATTGCATACCTCAATATGGGATGATGGCTTGCTCAGAGGAATATTGAAGAAACGTTAGAGGTCAGACAAGAACATAGAATCCATCTATAGAACCAATAACTTTTATGGTAAGCAGTGTTAACAGGTGTAGCCAATTTGGTTGTGGTTAGTACCATAATCGTAACCAATTGTTCAAAACGGATGATGTAGAATCAGTTATAATGGAACGGGTATATTCACACTTCCACTTAAAATACTTATACTTTTTACTCCATGATTTCATTATTTGTTATCGAATCATATTGCATATATTTAATCTTGTCTACTACTACCATTAAAACTCTTATTAATTCTACAACTTTGTCATTCCATTGCACAAACCAGTGGTTGTCTGGACTCAGTAACTTAGTGGGTTACATAGTTGCGTTTGAAGAGGAAGGTACTGAGTTCGATTATCGGAGTGAGCATCGACTGTAAGATGCATGTACATCCAGCTTATGAGTTCAAAATAGGGCGAAACACGCGTTCTGTATTCCATTGCTAGCCACTATTCATCTCTGCTTACAAATGAGCTACGGTCTAAAATAGGATAAATATCATTGAATATTTCAATCTTATGAATAATAGGTAGCGTTAGCCACTAAAGCTTTCACTATATGTCATGAACCATACGTTAAAATACGGTTGTGGTAGCATTTATCAAGTCATTAACCATTCTTAGTAAAGAAATATGAAATAATCTGGATAAAATTCTGGTTATATTAAACTATGGAACAATAACAGACCATTCCTGAAAGTCTTGAACTCCATAGGAAGTTTCTTTATAATCGATATGATAATCAGTTTTATGTACATTAGATGGATTGTGGGTAGCAGTGGGACCTAAGACATGTGTGTCATCTTATTTGGAAATCGTTAACTGAATTGACTGGTGAGACAATACTTTATGGATGACATTCGGAAGAAATTTCAACGAATCGGAAAGCAGTCAGTATAGAGTAAGAACTAAAAAATTTAGAGTGGATACACTTCTAAAATATGATTTAAAAACTTTTCAAGATTAAGAAGAAGATCTGAAGTTCTGAAATCATAATGCTTACGGTACGGAAATTTATCCATTTGACTCAATAATCAACCTCTTGAGCCATCATAAAGTCGCGAAAATTCATTTAGCCTTGGTCACATTGCTTTTATATTATTTTTGTATACTGCAGTGGTGGGGTCTATCATGTACGTAACCAGGTGTATGTAAGCATCGATATGCTGTCCAGACATCCATGTATAATGTGGTACACGGCTACACATACTGTGGTATAATCAGTATTATTGTTGTGACGTGGAAGTATCCCTTGTAAGATGATTCATCATATGTACTAAGGACTCGTTAATTATATCTAAGGACGTGCTACTTACTCAGTCTTCTTAAGCACTTCGTCTTCTACTTAATTTGCATTTTCTGACGGCCGTTTTGTCTATTTATACGATTCTCCCAATTCCTCCGAACGACTTATATAACCCTGTCACTACATATATGTCTCGACAGTACTCATAACACTGAATCGCGAAATCCGAACTCAGAACCTATCAGTCTCGCGTGTGAGTGCCTAACCTCTAGACTACAGAGCCGGCATCCAATGGCCGTCCAGTGCCTCCAGGTTTTCCATGGTGGTCTAGCTTCAATTGACTGATGATTTCAACTACAGTATCAAATTACAGTTTAAAAACCATTTCATATATATTATGGGAATAAATGCTTATTAAACGAAAATTTTGTTGTGATTCTTCGAATTTCTTGTTGAGAATCGTTTGCTACAGTCAAAGATATGATACGAAATGATGCATATGTTATTATGACCATTGTTATCATTGTTTTCATCATGGGTTTTCAGCGTTTTATTGCAAAGCTGAAACCAATGAAGTTCAACTTTGTTGACTATAAGGAAATTACCCACCAAAAGCAAATTAATTGAAGTAAGACTAGTATACCATTAGAATCCAGCTCAATGGCATAGAGGTTAGTCGTTTGATTTCAAGGCTGAAGGTCTTGGGTTCGACTCCCAGTTGTAAAGTCTCCAATACGTCGCTACTGAGGAGTCATATATTTTTCAATGATTATCTAACTTAAATCAATTTGTGATTACAATCATTACCATTGTTAAATCAAATCAATACTTACACATACAACGTCGTCCAGGATAATTAGCGTCAAATGATGCATCAATTGTAAAAGCATTACATTCACATATATAAGTACCTTGTGATTGAACAATACATTTAGCATTTATTGAACAATCATGATTTCCATTTTTACAAGGATCATGAACTATAGAAAATAGGGATGGAATGAAAAAAAAAGGATTTTTAGTTCATAAAATTTGGAGATGATTTTGTATCAAGATAAAGTAGAAATAAAATTTACCTGAAGTGGTTTGATGCAAAAGTGATTATCCTATTTTATGAAAGCTAATAGTTTTAGTAAGTACTTATATCATTTAATTATTGATCGTAAGAAGTGAAACTTTATCAGTTGAGATGGATAGGACATGTGTTACGTATGCTCAACCACCGACTGCCCCAACGTGTAATGTTTTATGGTGTAAGAGTAGGTTTGAAGAAAGTTAGGAGTGGCCAGACCAAAACATGGCACAAATCCATGAAGTCACTGACAATTGGACTGAGACATGCTGGTAAGTGTAGACTACCTGGTTGGGATTCGCGAGATGATAGCAATTGATGGTTAGAGACCTTGAATGACATGACTCAAAATCGTTTAGAATGGAGAAGGTACATTCACTCTTTGTGTTCTTTCCAAATTTATTTCATTGGGTTTTGCTCCTTCAGTAACATCTTTAAACCCTAATCTTTCACATAATGCCTATACTCTTACTACTTCTACCACTATGGGATTTGAATCGACAACTTCATCTCTGTGTTAATGTGGTATGGCAACTCGAACTGATGTGCGTACGTATGAAGTTCTACGTTGTGACTGAATGACTGATTGAAACTATAACATTAGATGTAATCCAATTTTGTAACGATGATAGAATTACAGTAAATAAACATGAATATATAGTAAATGAGTAAATAAATAAATATTATAGTTGAATTCATGAGTCAATTGAAGTTAGACTACCATGAAAAACCTGGAAGCACTGGATGGCCATTTCACCCTATTGTGGGACTCTTCAGCAGCTCACATCCACAATCCCACCTCGTGAGATTCGAATCCAGGACCTATCAGTCTCGCGCGCGAGCGCCTAACCTCTAGACCAATGAGCTAGCCGACATGCAATGGTGTTGATGTGTAAGTAGAACCAATTCACAAAATTGCCCCACCGTCCACCATTGTCTTCAGTGAGTTACTATCTCACAACAGACCCGGTTGAACTCGACTAGTCACTACTACTCAGTAGAACTCCAGGGAATATCTCTTGAAGTCAGTCACTAGTGAGCATATGATTATTATGAGAAAGGGTTTAATTACCTAGTCTCTGAAAAAGAGGTTAAGCACTCGCGCACGAGACTGATAGGTCCTGGGTTCGAATCTTGCGAAGCGGGATCATGGAAGCGCACTGCTGAGAAAACCTACATTAGGACGATACGACATTCCAGTGCTTCCTAGTTTTCCATGTTGGTCTAACTTCAATTAACTCATGATTTCAACAATTGAAATTTCTAATAATATCCACAAAAACCTTTTCTAATATTGTAGTGAACAAGAACACGACTGGAGACAATCGAATGTATTACAGACTATCTCACTAAATTCTGATAACCATACAGCAAACAGATGATTAACAAAATAACAACCAGTTGTCTCAATCTTCACTGTTCCTTCTGTCAATATCAATCCACCTTCTCTAATTTCATTGTTCATGCATTTTCCTAACAATTGAGCTTCATTCCTATTTTTTCTTTATCAATCTTCTGTCAAAATACATTCTATGTCTGACCATCACCATATACTACTTATATATAAATATAAGTAGACCACACTACAATATTATTTATTTATATTACTACTAATATTCATCATTAATAAGTAATACTTACCATAAACTTTAAAATTGGATGAATTCTCCATCATAATATCATTGAATGATATCATATTGAATTCATTTACAGTTTTATTGATTAATTGGAATCCAGTCATTAATTGATTTTTAATCAATATTGGAGAGATTAATGAAATTAATGATAAATCGATATCGAATATTGATTTTAATTGAATTATTACTGAATTATTATTATTATTATAATTAATTAAATAACAATCAATTAATGAATTTGATAATTGTAAATTTGATCCATATGTTATACTTAATTTAAGCTAAAATGAAATTTAAAAAAAAAGAAAAAAAAGTTGATCGGAAAAACAATAGGATCATAATAATAAAATATTGACGGCAAGTGTATAATTTGTGGATGAGCCAATCAGGAACGTTTCAGGAATTTCAAGGTCACGGCGCAAATTTTAATACCTGATGCTCATGCACGATCAGCTCACAAAAGATTTTAGAGAGGACGTGACAATTAAGCGGTAACAATAAATGGGACTATTAAGAAGTTCCTTTATTTGTAATTATGGTAATCAAATGACTTGCAGACCTTGTTCAGACTAACATGACGTTGTCCTTCCATGTAATATATGTTGGAGGAAGAAGTTTGCTAGAATAGGAACGGTTTTCGCTCGATCCATATTGAGACTAAGGAAAGTTGTATAATAAAAGCAACAGTAACATTGGCTGCAATTATCGCAGATGTTACTGAAGCTTTGGCTGTTCAGTGGTATGAGTATTGCTGGGACATATCCATAATAAAAATGATAAACTTACACAACTGGAGTATACACAAACAATAATGGAGCTATGTGGTCGAGTCTGAGAGGGTTTTTGTGACTTTATCATGGCTCCAAAGATTGACTATTATGGAGGCATATGGATGAATTCCTCTACCTTATGCATTAAGATTTCGGAACTCTTTGAATCTTTTTCTAACAATGACAAGTTTTTGGACCTTATGAAAGACGTATATCCACTTTAATTATTATAATAAGTGTTTACTCTATACGGACTGTTTTCTGATTGGCTAATATTTCTCAAGGTCACACAGGATTTGTTCAAAGTCGTCCATAAATTATAGTCTCGTCATATTTATAATTAACTAATCATAACCATCAGAAAGGGATTTTGTGGTTATTAATAGTAATTTTAACAGTTGAGATCATGAAGTAGTGGAGTTCAACTGGGTCTATTATGAGATAGTAATTCATTGAAAACATTGATGGATGTGTCTCTCAATTTTGTGGATTGAATGAAGTTAGACATTAACACTGTTGGATGACGGCCAGCTCAGTGGTTCTAAAGGTTAAGCGTTCGTGTGCGAAACTGATAGATTCTGGGTTCGAATCTCGTGAGGAGGATGAATAATAATAATGTATATTATTGAAATCATGAACCGATCAGTGTTGGACCATCATTGAAAACCTGGAAACACTGAACGTCCATTTCGTTCTAGTGTGGAACTCCTCAGCAGTGTGCATTTACAATTGCACACGCGGGATTCTTAATCTAAATTAACAATCTTTATAACATCAAACTGAAACCAATGATTATACTTTCACTAATCAGTGATGTCACTAACGAATGTTCTGAAAAGGATGTTATTTATGATTATACTATTAGGTTAAATGAATTTGTCAATGGTTTTTTCATGATGATGGTGTTTGTGACGATGAAAAGCCAAATTGATTTCTGCTTGTTCTGACTTAAGACAATGGGAATGTAGTGGACTCAAACATAAGTGAGAGACCATCGAATGTATTGGAATACAGAATCATAGAATCTCTCAGTAAAATCTGAGAAAACCTGGAAGCACTAGACGGCCGTTTCGTCCTATCACAGGACTCCTCAGCAGTGCGCATCCACGATCCTGCATTCGTGAGACTCGAACCTAGGACCTACCAGTCTCGCGCCAGTGCACTTAGCCGATTACATATGCAGATTACATATGCAACCATACTAAGTAAAAGTACGAATCGATGTAAATATAAAGAAAGATGTTCTACCAGCGACAACAAAACTAACAGTTAAAATGATTATTTTTAATTCATATATATTTCGGTTGTTTGGAAACTTTCCTGGTTATGGTTTTTTTAACAAGGTTGTTGTTGATACAGATGTGAAGGCGAAGATTATCAAAGAAAGGTTGACATTCCTACAGTTGAAGATATTATGGGACTCAAAACAACTACCAACCAATACCAAAGTCAGAATCTTCAATACGGACGTCTAGACAGTTCTACTGTACAGAGCTAAAACATGGAGAACTACTACAACCATTGTCAAGAAGGTACAAGTATTTATAAATAGTTGTCTTCGCAAAATACTCAACATTTACTGGCCGGATATCATCAGCAACAGCCTTCTGTGGGAGAGAAAAAACCAGCTTCCAACTGAAGAGGAAATTAGGGAAAGACGTTGGAAGTTGATAGGATACACATTGAGAAAATCATCAGACTGCGTCACGAAGCAAGCGTTAACTTGGAATCCGAAATGGAAACGGAAAAGAGGAAGACCAAAGAACATATTGCGTTAGGAATTTGAAGCAGGCATCAAAAAATGAATCGTGATTGGAAATAACTATAAAAGATTGCTCAGGACAGAGCTGGATGTAGAACGCTGGTCAGCGGCCTATTTTTCTCCACGAGAGACAACAAGCTCAAGTAAGTAATTATACCTACCCATTGGTGGTTAGGACTGCAATTAATTAGTCTTTCCGATATATGTGGATATCTAATCAATTGCAGTCATAAACATCAGTGGTAAGATTCAAACAAGCAATATAGACGAATTACAATTCACTTGATTGCACAAACCAGTGGCTATCTTGACCCAGTAACTAAATGAATACCATAATGACCTTTAAAGCGGAAGGTAATGAGTTCGAGTACCGAACATCGACTATAGAATACAGGTACATCCAGCTGTCAAGTCCAAAAATAAAGCAATACGCGTGTAGCTGTAAATAATTCCCCAAAATCAATGGCTTTTTAAGTGTTCGACATTGGATGCTGACCACATTAGTTTTAATGAACTTGTTTAGCTGAAGGCGTTCGGTCATGCATCCGCACCAGATCACGTTACAGTACAGCATGGGAAACATCTCCTACGATCACTAACCAGATTAGATCAATCGCTTATCGATATATTGATAACGCATCAAATATATCTTCCAAAATTTTCGCTTCTGACTTCTGATTTTAACTGGTTGGGCACGATTCAATTATAGAAGGTGTTACTGGTTAATAGTTGCCAAACTACAATACTGGTGGTATCTTCACGCACTTTCTGTATTCTACTGCCAACTATAATCCACCTCTGCTTCAAAACTTGATTTACTTTACTTATATCTATTTGTTATTGGTGTTTTGGACATAACTGGTTGGGCTAGGCAGGTCGCAGGACCGGTTAGCTCTCTAGACTGCTCGTACGGTTTTGTGTGTCACTGTTCCAATCGATAGTTCGCTGCTCTCTGATTGGCGGTCTCATCAAGTCACCCATTAGCTAGGTATCCACTCGGCCACAAGATATAGCACTATTATTCTATTTAAATTGATGACGTTTGTTTTAATACTATTGAATTCATTATCAAAAAAATGGAAGCTTCTTATTTAAAACTTACTAGTTTACAAACATCTAATGCTTTTGTAGTTGATAAATAACTTGACTTATCTTCATAATCTTTTTGCCAAATAGCTTCTTTTCCATTATCATATAATTTCAGTTCTACGACAAATATAAGATCATCTGAAGGAAATGTAAAACAAAGAAAAAAGAAACTTACGGACGAATTACATGTTAAATTATTTAATGAAATTTTGTATCCAGGATATAAAACTAGTCATAAGGAGAAGAGGAAAACCAAAGAACACATTACTTACTTACTTACGCCTGTTACTTTCAATGGAGTATAGGCCGCCGACCAACATTCTCCAACCCACTCACTCTGTCCTGGGCCTTCCACTATACTTCTATCCAGTTATTGTTCATTCTTCTCATGTCTATCACCATTTCTCAGCGTATTGTGCTCTTTGGTCTTCCTCTTCTCCTTCGGCCTTCAGGATTCCATGTGAGGGCTTGCCTTGTGACGCAGTTGGGTGATTTCCTCAATGTGTGTCCTATCCACTTCCAGCACTTCATCTTGATTTCTTCCTCCGATGGATGGAATCTGGTTTGTTCTCTCCCACATTGTACTGAGGTAGGTACCTGTCTCTACCTAACATGGATTAGCCCCATTGGTCACGACTTCTCACTAGAACTCCAGGAATTACCTAATGGAGCCAGTTACTATTGAGCATATGATCATTATCAGATAAACGAGTCTTTTTTTAATTTTTTGGATCCATTAAAACTTTAATTCATTAATTAACATACATCTCAGTTAATAATCTTACATAAATGATAATCGTTAACTTACGTCTTTCACATCGTTTTCCACGTGTATGATCTTTACACAAACATTTTGGTGATTTCGATGTACCAACACATGTTCCCCCATATTTACATGTTGATTCTTGACAATTTGTTAAATCTGTTTCTGCCTCTTTAATATAAAAAGAAAAAAATAATTTTCTAATGGAAATTTAAAAGATATAAGAATGGATAAGATCTGTTTGTAAATTCACATTGTTTAAATAGGGATTTCATGATGAATTAAGATCATATATCAGAAGGGGTTTTAAGGAGGTTTCAGTATTTTCATAGTTGAAATCAGTTGAAACTAGACCACCATTGAAAACCTTAAAGCACTGGACGGCCGCTTCGTCCTATTGTGGGACTCCTCATCAGTGTGCACCCACGATCTCGCCTCGCGAGATTCGAACCCAGGACCTAACAGTCTCGCCCCGGAGCACTTAACCTCTAAACCACTGAGTTGGCTGGCATCCAACGGAGTTAATGTCCAACTTCAACCAATCCACGAAGTTGAGCAACCGTTCACCAATTGTCTTCAGTGAGTTGATTTCTCTACAACAGACTTGGTTGAACTCCACTGGTTACTGCCTTTCACTAGAACTCCAGAAAATATCTCTTGAAGTCAGTCACTAGTAAGCATATGATTATAGATCAGAAGGGGGAAGAAACGGCCGTTCAGTGCCTCCAGGTTTTCCATGATGGTCTAGCTTCAAATGACTCGTGAATTCAACTATAAATTAAGATCACTCAGAAAGTTTCGTTGTTTATATAACGTAATGAAATAAACTAGACAAACTTTCGGAATCGAGAAATACTGGAGGGTTTTTTTCATCGAAGTATAGATCTTGACTACGGTACTAACCAGGGGTCAAAGTCATGACCTACAGATCATATGGTGAGTGTTTATTCTGTAGATCAATGCGACGGCATCCATAGGTATATATGTCTAACTTCGATCACAATTTATTTATTTATTTAAACACATAAATACTGGTACGAAAGAGCGCCAGATATATATGCTACACAAAAATTTCATTTGATTTGTGTGAGGGCTGAGATACTATCCAGGTGCAAAAATCGAAACAGCTGGTTTTCTTAGGGAGCCACAACCGGAGCCTCTGACCTAAAAGTCTGGTCCACAAAGAACTGAAGCATCGTAAAGAGGTGCACTCACATGGTAGCCGGTGAGCAATAATAGGTTCATGCAACATTTATTCCCTCAGGATACTGGAGCCCATGTGCACCACTGGTTTGGAATCAGGGTTGTCCAACTCCCCTAGGTGGACTTTCCGTGTCTACCAACCCCGTTAAAGTGCCGGATATTCGCTTTTCGTCCTCTCAATTTCGTGAACAACAATAATACCACGAGAAGTCAGTGAGTAGGACTTTCATGGCAGATGCGTGGCCATGTGAGAGCATTTGGAGAGGAAGAGGGGACTCTCCCCACTCTCGGCCGTACCAGGGCATCTGGGGGCTAAGATTTGTTATGGTATAAAGCTATATCGAGGTAATTTAATTATGATGTACATATAGAAAACAAAGAGTGATCAATGGTAGTTTTAAATACCAAAAACTAGCAACTAGAAATCTCTAATGATATCTTCATACTAGTTGATCGAGTTGATGACATACTGAACCCAGTAGTTCAGAAAATAACCCATTAGGTGTTTGATATGAAAAGAATTAAATTCAAGTCTTCATATGATCCTGAACTATGGGATGAAGAAGAAATCTAGTTGTTGAATTGTATGTAGGACAGAATGCCCATCTAATATTACTGTTAGCCACTTATCAATTATGCTAAAACGCTATATGTTTTAATTTAGTAAGTTTTGAATTATTCCATTGTTGATATTTTGACTGAATTGTAATAGGACTTAGTTGGTATATGTGCATCATGTGGGAATCGCCTCGATACACTTATCATAACACAAATTTTCATAAAAATAATCACAATATGTATAGCAGTTGGACCTCACAATGCGTTTTGTTGATACTGTTTAGGACATGAAATGTGAAATGCAGGAATATCCTGGCTGATGAGTCCCGAAGTGGACAAAACACGTGATCAGGGTTACATTTCTTTTGGGTAAAGGTCATTATCTTTTTAAACACTAGAAATATAGTTGATTGACTTACTTATTAGTTTTAAACAATATTTCTAATTAATTTTATATAGTTGAGATCGTGAGTCAATTGAAGCTAGACCACCATGGAAATCCTGGAGGCACTGGACGGCCGTTTCGTTCTATTGTGGGACTCCTCAGCAGTGCGCATCCACGATTCCGCCTCGCGAGATTCGAACCTATGACCTAACAGTCTCGCGCCAGAGCACCTAACCGATAGACCACTAAGCTGGTCGGCACCCAACGGCGTCAATGTCTAACTTCAATTAATCCCCAAAATTGAGCAACCATTAACCAATGTAAGACATTAAATAGGAATAATATATTTGTAACCAATGTCTTCAGTGAGTTGATATCTCCTAACAGATCTGGTTGAACTGCGGTGGTTAATGCTTCTCACTTTAATTAATGCTAAATTTATCTAAAAAAATGCTATAGTAGCGAACGAGATCATAAGTGGGGACAATAAAATACATCTGAATGTATAATTACAGAATCACTTAGTAAAATCTGAGAACCATACAGTAAATTTCTCATTTATGAAATGTCAATAAGTCATTTCAGACTTCATTGTTCCTTCGTTTCCAGAGCAATCATTCTGTGTTCTCGTTCTTTTTCCTTCAATCTACCTAACTTTCTGCCTCCAGGCATTTCACTTTCGATTGGTGATACATACCGTGGTGTATGCTACTGATGTCGACAGATCACAGTACCATCTATCATCAATCGAAAGTGGAACAATTGGCAGAAGAAGGTTAATAAGACCAAAGAAAAGAGAACGAGAACAGAAAATGATCGGTGTGGAAAAGAAAGAACAATGAAGTGTGTGATGATTGATTAACATTTCGCGAATGAAGTATTTACTGTATGATTCTCTGATTTCATTAGGATGTTCGATAATTTTGTATTCACATACATTTTAATGTCCTACTTGTGTTTTCGTTTACTGCAATACTACTCATATCTGTCGACATCAGTAGCACACATCAAACTATCACTTGAATTACAATGTAAAACAGAATTATCACACAAGATTTCTTATTCGCTGAATGAAAAAAAATTTACGATAAATAGCTGCGAATTATCGTCATCTCTCTTGAACTTTTTGAATTTTTATCGATCGTTTCTTAGAATGCTTGTGAATTAAGACAATATCTAGACAATACGCACAGTATGCACATATGCCAATGAGAGACTGATCAACTGCAGTCCTAAACATCAATGGTAAGACCCATGTAAATAATATCAAGGTAATTTAAACTTCACCCCACAGCACAAGAAAGTGGACAACACAATGGCGTCTAAGGCGAATGGTGCTGGGTTCGAGGCTCGGAGAGGACGCAGGTAAATCGACATGGGAGGTCTTAAATAGGACGAGACGCTAGTCCTAGACTCCGATGCTACCCATCATCCGTCTTTTTTTTTTAAAGGATATGATGAAACCAAAGAATATGAAGAAGAGAAACGAAATTTTAGAAATTATATTTTGTTTGTTGATGATTGAGAAATAGTCTTTCTGAGAAACTAGTGAGCTAGCCAACATCCTAACTAACTCGCCAATTATATCAGTAAAATGATGAAATCATACTTCTTTTTATATCTTTCATTGTAATAAACTGATATCATTACTTAGTCTATGACTTAAGAATCTATGATAGCGACTGAAAGTTAGTGATGACTGATGGGTATATCGCATTATATAACATATAGAATATAGTTGGAAATGTAAATAACTATACATCGATCCAATGACATGATATTATTGCAGTTTCTGTGAAGCCTTAATGTTTTGAATTCATGTTGATAAACTGTCCCGAACTTGAACCAAATAAATATCTAACGATTCCTACTTTTTAGTTAATCCTATAAAGCATTGGTATAGAAGGTTTGTGCAGATTTTTCGGTTTCATAGTTCACATACCTAACTGATATTATTATGACCTTCAGGTCTCATAGTGAACGCTTAAACTTTGTGACATTTAGTTAACATCAGGTAAGCGACACTTCTAATTTTAATCAAGTCGCAATATTGTGATTTCACATTTCATGTCCTAAACAGTATCAACAAAACGCATTGTGAGGTCCAACTGCTATACATATTGTGATTATTTTTATGAAAATTTGTGTTATGATAAGTGTATCGAGGCGATTCCCACATGATGCACATATACCAACTAAGTCCTATTACAATTCAGTCAAAATATCAACAATGGAATAATTCAAAACTTACTAAATTAAAACATATAGCGTTTTAGCATAATTGATAAGTGGCTAACAGTAATATTAGATGGGCATTCTGTCCTACATACAATTCAACAACTAGATTTCTTCTTCATCCCATAGTTCAGGATCATATGAAGACTTGAATTTAATTCTTTTCATATCAAACACCTAATGGGTTATTTTCTGAACTACTGGGTTCAGTATGTCATCAACTCGATCAACTAGTATGAAGATATCATTAGAGATTTCTAGTTGCTAGTTTTTGGTATTTAAAACTACCATTGATCACTCTTTGTTTTCTATATGTACATCATAATTAAATTACCTCGATATAGCTTTATACCATAACAAATCTTAGCCCCCAGATGCCCTGGTACGGCCGAGAGTGGGGAGAGTCCCCTCTTCCTCTCCAAATGCTCTCACATGGCCACGCATCTGCCATGAAAGTCCTACTCACTGACTTCTCGTGGTATTATTGTTGTTCACGAAATTGAGAGGACGAAAAGCGAATATCCGGCACTTTAACGGGGTTGGTAGACACGGAAAGTCCACCTAGGGGAGTTGGACAACCCTGATTCCAAACCAGTGGTGCACATGGGCTCCAGTATCCTGAGGGAATAAATGTTGCATGAACCTATTATTGCTCACCGGCTACCATGTGAGTGCACCTCTTTACGATGCTTCAGTTCTTTGTGGACCAGACTTTTAGGTCAGAGGCTCTGGTTGTGATTCTCTAAGTAAACCAATTGCTTCAATTTGGGCACCTGGGTAGTAGTAACGTTTAAATAAATAAATAAATAAATGTGGAAGGGGTTTTTGTGTAGATTTAGTATTTTCATAGTTGAAAGCGTGAGTCAATTTAAACTAAGCCACCATGGACTGAGGAGTCCCACAATTGAACGGAACGACCGTTCAATGCTTCCAGGTTATCCATGGTAGTCTAGCTTCAATTGAATCACGCTTTTAACTATGAAAATAGATTTAGGTCACAGAAATTAGCAATAGAGATTTTATGGACCCTGGTTAAAACATGTTATTATTAGCTTAATATTATTATTATTATTTATATTAGTAGTAATAGTAGTAGTCATAGTAGTAGTAGTAGTAGTAGTAGTAGTAGTAGTAGTCGTAGTAGTAGTAGTAGTAGTAGTCGTAGTCGTAGTCGTAGTAGTAGTCGCAGTAGTAGTAGTAGTAGTAATCGTAGAAGTAGTAGTAGTAGTCGTAGAAGTAGTAGTAGTCGTAGTAGTAGTCGCAGTAGTAGTAGTAGTAGTCGTAGTCGTAGTAGTAGTAGTAGTAGTAGTAGTAGTCGTAGTAGTAGTAGTAGTAGTAGTAGTAGTAGTAGTCGTAGTAGTAGTAGTCGTAGTAGTAGTAGTAGTCGTAGTAATCGTAGTAGTAGTAGTAGTAGTAGTCGTAGTAGTAGTAGTCGTAGTAGTAGTAGTAGTAGTAGTACTAGTCGTAGTCGTAGTAGTAGTAGTAGTAGTAGTCGTAGTAGTAGTAGTAGTAGTAGTACTAGTCGTAGTCGTAGTAGTAGTAGTAGTAGTAGTAGTAGTAGTAGTAGCAGTAGTCGTAGTAGTAGTCGCAGTAGTAGTCGTAGTAGTAGTCGTAGTAGTAGTCGTAGTAGTAGTCGTAGTAGTAGTAATCGTAGTAGTAGTAGTAGTCGTAGTAGTAGTTGTAGTAGTAGTAGTAGTAGTAGCGTAATCTCTTCTTATCAAAACTTATGACATATAGTCTTTATTATTATTATTACCATACTATCATCTAGTGTAATTCAAGTACAATACTTGAATGTAATTTTCATTCTCATCTATATACATTATTAAACAAGACCCATACAATATGAATATGAGATTTGATTTTTATATGCAAAATATTGTAGTTCATTGACTTCTTGTTAATCAGTTTTCAATAGTATTCAGGTTAGATGTCAAAATTTCTTGCTTTTACTTTTAGTCATTTCATATTAAAACAAAATCTTGTACATAAATTCAAATCAATGAGATTAGTAGTTTATGTTATAATTAGATTGATGAAATTTAATCAACAAGAAAGAATAAAACAAACATGAGATTTGACTAGCAATGAAATCCAGTTTGACGCGTGTTTCGTCTTATTTCAGACTCGTCAGATGGATTTACATGCACCTCTAGGACTCGAACACAGTACCGTTCACTTCAAACTTCATCGCGTTATCCATTTAGCTACTGAGTCCCGATAAACACTTACTTATGCATTGGGTTAAAGTTTATATTCACTTGGTGTTGTTTACATGTATCTTCTCATTGTCTTTTAGGACTGTAATAGGATGAAACGCGCGTCAAACTAGATTCCACTGTTAGCCACTATCCATCTTTGCCTATAAAGCTTATGACTTCAGGCAATATTATGGCAGTCCGGATAGGATGCAGATATTTCAACAAGAGATTGACCAATTATAGTCCTAAATAACAATGGAAAGATACAAGTAAGCAACACCAAGTGAATTTAAACATGATATTCATTACTAATCAGTGATTACTCATTGTATCTCAGTTTTATAATAGAGGTTATTCATAACTCAAATAGCTCAGCGATGATATCTTTGACTATGAAGCTGATTGACATGGGTTTTAATCTCTTCTGATATATTAGATCTCTCGATTTCGAGTCGTGATGTTTAGTGTCAAATGGCAAGAGAGTTTTTTTTACCAACTACGTTCGATTACACAATATTTAAAATTAGCACACATGATATCAAAGCTGCCTAGACTAGCGGTGGGTACATTAAAATTTGATCTATATGATTCCATTAGCATCAAGAATAACATTGATTATCATTAGATCATCAATGTGAAGTTAAGTTCAGTTTTACTTTCTTTTTACTAAAGGTGATATTTATCTTCAATCTCTTAATCGTTCAAGATAATTGATTATTCAAAACTTGGTAGCACTGAATAACTTTTTTATCCAAGGTCACTAAGAGAAGAAACAAAATCTTCCTCTATGACAAAATAGATATTCACTGGCTTCTAGTTTCTCAATAACTTTTCAAAACTAATGTCAATTCATGAAAACTTCAAATTCTTGGAGTTTTAGTACGAATTCATGACTAGGGGAATCCAATCATATGTAAGATAAGGCGATATCTCACCAATGGAGATGGTTCATAATTGGTTAACATCACAAATTGAGTAGAGCTAGAAATCGAGATCATTCGATGGCAACTCAATGGTCTAAAGCTTAAGGGCACGCTATGAGGTCTCGAGGTTCTTCATGGTGGAATCATGGATGTCTGATACTGAATAGCTGGAATAGTGGAATCGCTGCTCATCGGCTTCAAGTTTCAGTTGGTTGTCTAACTATAGTCAGTCTGCCTTATAAAACTACGAAATAAACTTCAAATTAAACGATCTGCACAAGTGTGGAAAGTGCGCTTTAGTCCAAGGTTAGTTTATATACAGAAAAACGAGAGTATTGATGGTATTATAGACTAATTTAGACTCCTGAAAGTTTCGGGAATCATGTTAACTATAGTAGCAGCATGGGTTAATATCCAGTCAGAAATGTAACGCATAGTTTTTTCACTTTCTAGATGTTTCTGAGATGTTTTTATTCAACGTTGATAGGATGAAATTTTTCCAAGAGTTTTCTGAGCTCCTATGAACTTTTCCAAGTAATACTTCAGTGATTTTAAGAATACGCAAACATAAATGAAAAGGAGTAAAGTTTTGTAAAGCTTTACTTGTTAACTAACTAGAAACTAAGTCTTTAATTTGGTCGACTTGAATGTTGGCTGGTGAGACACAACTCCCTTTAAGTCAAATTATACGGTTCACTAATAACAACTGTATTTAGTGTTAGGTTGCCCCTGATTAATTACGAAGCATACCTATTCTTAATGAAACCAAATATGAATGTATATATATTGAAATAAGGGATAAAGGAATTAGTGTCAAATGAAGAATTATAATAAAGTTGGATAGTATTGAGTATTGAAACACAAAATGCCTTTTTGGTTTTCTTGGGACTAGTATATTGGATATACTTGCCTCCCAATGATGATCATCCTAATCAGATCAGGATACCCAGTACCTTTCATTTTGAATGACAATTTCATTTTCTAGTGAGCAACTGAGTCCGGATAAACAGTAACGTACTCAATAGGTGTGAATATATAAGTAAGAACTCGGCCGTTGCTGCTACATTGACGTGGTGATTGGGTTTGCCTATCTTAATGAACCAATCGAGCTATACTGGCTGAGACGGTCGTTCCTCAAGGTCCTACCATGCCAGACAGGTCGTTTGAAGAGTGGTAAGGCTAAAAGTAACAGACCCAAGGTCTGAGGGTGAATTCGTACTTCTGAGTGTGCAGAGGTGTGATGGCAGTAAGGTGTTTCCTTCAGACAACCTGCATTACAGTGATTCTGCTTTCCCACAAGAAAGGGAAGGGGTTATTAAAGGTTAACCCTAAAAATGTACAGCTCTTCTTATTCCACTGATTTCCATCGCTGGAAGTAAGGTTCCACAAAGTACGGAACAAACACGAAAATTACTCACAAAATGATCGTATGTAACCTGCCTCAAGCAGTTGTCCCTGGGGCACTGCGGTCACAATCTCTGGTCAATAAGACTATCACTAACACGATTTCTTTTTCAGGTATCTCTAGAAGAACCTTTTCATGGTGTGGGCCACAGGGAAGTGAAAACCACCTTCATACCTTTAACAACACACATGATCAGTAAGAACTTGTATTTTCTGGTTATTGATGTTAAGTTCTGGAATCGACCAGTCTTAAACGGAATGGCTTAATGTTTTCATTTAGTCATCAGATATTTCAATGTTGGATATTGGGTGGAATTTGATTCCCTAAACATTAACGACGGGAACATATAAGAAAATAAAAGTTTCTTTTCAACAATAAATCATTATCATACTTACCTTCACTACAATCAATTCCTTTAAAATCTGGTGTACAAATACATTTGGAATCATTTTCATTGAAACTATCATTCTTATTGCCATGAAGACGACGACATATTCCATGATTTAAACATGGTGGTTGACATATTCCTATTGGATTAAAATCAATTGGATAAAATATTTTAGAATGAATTAATTTTACAGGAGTAATTGTAGTTACTAAGGTTGTTGTTGTTGCTGATGGGGATGATGATAATGCTTCAGCCGAAATACATGTTGAATATGATAATAATAATAATAATGATAAAGAGAAAATCAATAAATGATTAATAATTTGTATCAACATTCATATGAGTAAAATTTCAATAAGATTAATGTTTATCTTTTGTTCGTAGGATGATCAACACCAGATCCAAGTTGTTGATGGGGATGATGATAATGGTGGTGGTGGTGATTTGGTCGTTTCCTTTTGTGTTACTAAGTAGAATGATATGAGTTTTTTCTAATATGAAAGTAATTCACGAAAAAATTCTCATTCACTTTGTATAAGGAATCTGAAATAAATAAACAAGTATATTAATGATAATTATATAATAATAATAGTAATAATATTAATAATAATAAGAATAAGAATAATAATAAGAAGAACGGTCGTCCAGTGCTTCTAGGTTTTCCATGGTTGTCTAGCTTCAATGGATTCGTGAATTCAACGATAATATTACTAAAATCTCCACAAAACCCCTTTCTGATAATAATCATCATGTGCTCAATAGTGACTGACTTCAAGATACATGTCCTGGAGTTCTAGTGAGAAGTAATGACCAGTCGAGTTCAACTGGGTCTATTGTGAAATAGTAACGCATTGAAGACAATGGTGGATATGTCACTCAATTTCGTGGATTGGTTGAAGTGAGACTATAACACCGTTAGATGCTGGCAAACTCAGTGATCTAGAGGTTAAGCGTTCACACGCGAGACACACTGGTAGGTCCCGAGTTCAAATCTCGTGAGGTAAGATAGTGGATGAGAACTGCTGAGGAGTTCCACAATAGAACGAAACGGCCATCCAGTACTTCCAGGTTTATTACCATGATGATCTAACTTCAATTGACTCATGATTTCAACTATGCAAATACTGAAATCTCCACACACAAAAAACACCTTTTGAGAATAAATTAATGACGATTATAAAATGATAATAATAATAACACAATTGAAGCCATTGTTTTAATATAAAAAAACTTATATGTTCATTTTATTGACTAATCACGGGTGGAATAAAATAAACAAACTTTCTAAAAGAATAAAACACTTTTAAATCAATACATAAATAAAAGAGGGGGGGCGATTTCGGATAGTAACAACACAAAGAGAGAGAGAGAGAGAAAGAGAAAGAGAAACAGCATACTTCAATTAAACAGAAGTGAGAAGGTTTTTTTCAGTGAAAAAATAAGACATGATTGGATTGTAGTGTATATACATGGACATACACACACACACATACACATACACATCAGCACACAGATACAATTACATAGTTATACAATCATTAATTAATTACACGTTTCAATGTTTCATTGTTTAAAGTGGATCAACCTTTAATTGAATGTTGAACAGTATAGAATTTAAACAAAAAAATATAACTAATTATTATCTTCTGAAGTAATTTTCTTCTTAATAAATATTGATTATTGGCACTATTTGGTTATATGTTGTAACTAGGACTTAGAAACATTAGGTGACATAACTTGTAATCGATGAGAATGAGGTAGACGCATCCACTTTATGTCGTCTATTGAGTATTACATTTAATAATGATAAAATACTTTGAATTTACTTAGTATTATTTGTTTGAATCTTTTCATTAATGTGGCTATCAGGACTCAATAGCTAAGTGGATAACATAATGGTGTTTGAAGCGAAAGTTTCTGTGTTCGAGTCCCAGAGTGAATATCAATTTCTGAGATGCAGGTACATCCAGCTAACGAGTCCCGAATGGGATGAAATGCGCATTCTGGATTCCACTGCTAGCCACTATCCATCTTTGCTTATAATGCTTGTTAATTAAAGCTATATCGAGGCGATAAGCACAGTATTCACATATGCCAACAAGAGACTGACCAGTTACAGTCCCAATCATCGATAGGAAGCTTCAAACAATCAATACTAAGTGAATTTAAACTTAACCCCATTGCACAAGCAAGTGGCTATCAGGACTCAGTAGCTGAGTGAATAATGCGATGGCATTTGAAGCGAAAGGTACTATCAGAAACTTGGTGAATTATTAAATGTTGAAACAAAACTTGATAGATTAACTAGTTTTTTTGGTATCATCGAGTTTTATGAATTAGACACTTAAACTGAGGAGCTTGAATTGTCATTTTAAACAATATTATCGGAGCTGACTTCATGTAAAAGTGAGTTTTCATAAACGTTGTATCAATTTTGCCATGATACTCTTGTTTATAAGTGATTATTCTTATAGGTTTCATCGTCTTCATCTGTCTTCATATACAGGGTGACCGTATCGTTCAGTTGACTTCTGATTTTGCCGTTGGTTGACCTTTTATTGCATACATTCAGTCTATAAACACGATTCGTGACTATTATACAATGCGTCTATAAGTTGCTGTATTGCTTAAAATGAAAGATCTCTGAAGTAAAGTGAGGTGTATCATTTTAGAGTCGATCTTTTCTTAGCTCCTTCCATTATGGGAAGGAAGTATTACTGTAAATGCTGACTGTTTCGGGCGAACAACCAACTACCGTCACACTTCAGAATAGTAGTTGCATGACTTTATCTCAAGTTGCTAATTTCAGTCTTACCACTATTCAACCGACCTATCTGGCATGTCATGATCTAAAGGAACGAATGTTTCAGCCAATATACCATGATCAGGTTATTACGAAGTGAAAACCCTACCACCATGTAAAGGTAGAAGCCACAGTTGAGTATTGCTGTCAATGGGCTTAAATTTTAGGTCTTTGTGCTTTGAAAATAAAACTTGTTTTATCTAATAACTATTCATACATATAAAATGATGCGGAAAATAAAAGTGTTAGACAACAGCCAATAAGCTAGGCACATATGGACAGTCACTAGAATGGTATATCAATGTTTTGGCATCTAATGAATTCTCATCAAGCTATGAGTTGTTTCATTCAGGTTTCAACAAATAATAACATGGAGACATTTAGGTGATCTGTTCGTTAATTTTAAATTTCCCACCTTAGATCATTCTGATGACAAAATTTATGAGATCTGTTATCTTTATAAATCATGATACGCAGTGTTTCCTTCTATACTGGATTATTATTAATTACAATATGTTACTACACTTATCTCATTCTCAATGATAGATAATCCAGCTTTTTCAAGTTTCTTTTATATGGTCGTAATTACTGTGAAGTGTTTTCAGTGTCAGACGTTGTTTTCTTATGTATACTGTGGAGAGTGTGGAATTCTTAGTGACATTAGAAGCTGTCAGAGCTGTACAACGAAGCTTCTTCAATAACAAACATTTTGAAGCTGTTTCCCTTCAATGCATTCACTTGAAAGTAGTGTTTTAAAAAGTGAGCTTCGTCATTGAAACTGTAACACTGAGTAACAAATAATAAGAAATTATAGATGGAAATTGATCAGCTTTCTGTTTTATGCAGATCCATGATTGATCCTTAACTGTAAACTAGAATTGAAGGTACATGAGCCTCATTTGTTACGATCATGATACCTTCTAACCTTACATATTGGGACCATGTTTACAAATTTATGTTAATAGACTTTCTACTTAGAATAAACAAACCGACTAACTAGTCACAAAACTTTATAAAGAAAGACATAGAAATACATTAGAATATAGTTAAATACGACAATTTAAAACAAATATAACCCTCAACTAGTCTAAAGGTAAAATAAACCTTCTTTATGTACAAAATATCCGGATCTTATCAGCAACAACTCATTGTGGGAGAGAACAAACCAACTTCCAGATGAAGAGGAAATGAAGAAAATTCACTAGAGGTGGATAGGATATACATTACAGAAACCATCAAATTGCATTACTAGGCAAGTGCTAACTTTGAATCCTGAATGGAAACGAAAAAAAAGAGGAAGACTAAGTAACACATAGAACCTGGAAGAGAAAAGAATCAATAGCAACTGCAAAAGATTGCCCAAGACAAATTTGGTTATAGAATGCTGATGAGTGGCATATACTCCTCATGGAAGGGTAACAGGAGTAATTAAGCAAGTAATGCACAAAATACGTAACACAGTTCAAAGGGTAAGAAAGAAAATAGAACTCTCCTAAAAAAAGATAATGAAATCATTATCTAAGAAAATTATTTACTACATTTCATTTATTCATTAGATTTGTAAAAATTATTGGCTGTAAATTTAATTGGTATGGTTGGCATGTATCTTCCTATTGATGTTAAGGACTGCAATTCATCAATCTCTTATTGGTATATGTGCATGCTATGCTTATTGCTTAGATATTACCTTAGAAGCAAAGATGGATAGTGGCTAGCAGTGGAATCCAGTTTGACGTGCGTCTCGTCCCATTTAGGACTCATCAATCGGATACACCTGCATCCTAGACTTGATATTTACTCTGAGACTCGAACCCAGTACCATTCACTTCGAACACCATCGCGTTATCCATTTAACTTACTGAGTCCTAATAACTATCTATTGGTTTGTATTTACAAAATCCATAGTCGAATAACTAATCTCATTACATATCAAAGAAAAATGACACATAATTATCTCGATCATATTAAAAAAAGGAAATACAAACGGATGAGTTACTTACGTGTTACTTTAAGAAACATCAATTACATAATAAACATCATAGAAATGAGTTACTTTTTCTAAGCATGGATCTTTAAACTATTACTATTATATTCAATGCAGTTTGCTGAATACAGTGCGTACGTATGTGTGTAATATGTATGTCTATGTATGTATGTATGTTTGTATGTAGGTATGTATGTATGTATGTCTATGTATTTACAAACATACAAATATGTAAGTACTGTAATTTATAATAAATGTGACTCAAATTTATAAAATCAATAATTCAATTGATTATTGGTTTTTTTTGTTGTGTACTTTGAACTCATTCACTTATATTATAAATCAATAAAATGTATTAAATTCTGATTATCTAGAGAGAGAGAGAGAGTACTTTTGTAATTTTAGTAGTACTTTATTGATTTATAGATGATGTAAAACCTAGAAACACTGAACGGCCTTGACGTCCTATTGTGAGACTCCTCAGCAGTGCACATCCGTGATCCCACCTCACGAGATTCAAACCCAGGATCTATCAGTCTCGCGCGTGA